ACGTGGGCCACTTCCAGTGATTTCTACACGGTACTGACGTCGGTTTCCAGAGGTTTGGGGCTCAGTGAGCAGGGCCCTAGGGTTCATGCAAAGCTGCCCTCTCAGCGGCATGCGCGAGCTCGCCCAGGAGACCAAGACATTTGCAGAGACACAGGCAGGCAGCGAGGTCACATTTCCAAAGGACAGGTTATGAGTGACAGGAGCAGCCGAGGTGCCTGTGACAGCACAGGTGGGCGGGGGCTGCCTTGCAGAGACGGATGCTGGCGTGCTCACTCCTTCGTGGAGTTGTTACCTGCTGTTAAGTACTTCTAGGTGTGACTGGGCTGATTTGTGAGGCCCCTCAAGGACCCACTTCTGCACACCCCACCTCTGCCTATGCCTCGGTTACTCCCTGCAGCACCTGGCCCCCTACAGCTGCAGGCCAAGGGCCTCTCCTTCCTGAGCTGGTTGAACAAGAGTCACCACTCTCCCCCACCTCCAGTTTCCGGCCTTGAGCCACTGCAGCAGGGTGAGCAGGAGTACGCAGCCTGGGGACCTTCGTCAGAGCACGTGCTCAGCTCTGTATGCCGAGTAGTCCCTGATAGGAATCTTGGGCCATGTACCGCCGCCCTAAGTGTCTTCACCCAGCCCCCGCCAGTGTTATCGCGCTCTAAACCCCGCCTGTGTAACAGGGACTCGGTGGTTCACACATCCCAAGCGGGCGACCTCTCCTCAGGCCACTGGAGGACGCCTCCTCACCCCACAGACGCCTTGCCCCTCGCTCATCCCTTCCCAGCCCCCGAGCACCCCCACCGGCCCCAGCGCCAGGCGGTCGGGAATCTGCCGGCCGCCTCCGTAGATCGGCCTATTCTAGACGTTTCGCACAAGCAGGGTCCTGCATCCGGGGCCTCGAGAAAGGCTTCTTTCGGCCCACTCCACAAGTCGGGGCTCACGCTCGAGACAGCGGGCGTTTCTGAGCATTTGCCTAGGGCTGGAATGGCTGCGGCCTGTGACCTTGTATTTGACCTTTAGAGGAAGGGCTGGGCTGTTGCCAGGCAAGTGCCCGTTCACCTTCCTAAGGACAGTCTTAGTCATGGGCCTGGCGCCACTTCCTCACCAACCCTGCCGATGGCCTTCCCATTTCAGCCACCCTCGCTGGAGTACAGGGATATTTCAAGGCTGTGATGTGCATTTTTCTGATCCCTAAGGAAGCCAAGCAGCTCCCCCCAAGCACGCTGCGGGCTGGGGACTGCGGGCTGCCTACGGGTAGGTCCAACCCTGTTACTCGCTTCGCAGATGTTAGCCCAAATCCTTTGCCCATTTTTAACTGGGTTATTTGCCTCTTCCTGTTGAGTGGTAAGATTTCCTTGCTTTTTTTCTGGATATCAACCCCATATTTATTTACGTCGAATTTATGTACGTCGGAATCATTGCTTGTGTTTTTTAATTTTCTTGTAGAAGGAACCAGTGCCTAATCCACAGTCACAAAAATCAATGTCTATATTTTCTCCTAAGAATTTGAGTTTTACCTCTTACTCTCGGGTCTTTGTTCCCTTTGGAGTTAATGTTTATACGGTGTGAGGCAGAGGCTGAGCATCGTCCTTGTGCGTGTGCAGTGCGTGCGCCTTGGCTTGGAGGCCCGTCTTCCCGGCTGACTCCCCAGTGCTCTTGTCACAAATCAGTTAACAAAAACCAGTTGCTGGATTCCCAATTCTATGCCATCGGTTTCCAAGTCCTTGATATTTTAAAACTAGGACTTATTTGGAGTAACTATTAACAAAGCATCACTGTTGCCCCCGCATTAGTACAGGGAAATGCGGCTCCACAGACCCGCAGACAAAGGAACTAGGAACTGGAAGCCCCGGGGATGAGGATGGGGTTCCAGCCGCCCGCCCTCCAGCAGCCGCACACGCCCCGGGCCTCTCCCGTGACCGGGCCTCACTGTGGGCTCCGCCCACGGACCCTGGGCTCGGCCACCAGGGTGCTCTGCCCTCGGACGCGTGTGGACAGGATGCGAGCAGGGCTGGGCTCTTGCGTTTCGCTATCGCTGCGAAGAGGACGAGCCCCGCGTGGATGGGGGACAAGGACAGAAAACCTGGGAAGGAGGCGTCCCAAGACCAGAACCCTGGCCACGCGGGGAGGTGGGGCAGGAGGCATCGGCACGGCCGCCGGCCAGCTACTACGGAAACCGAGATCCTTGGGCGCCTCTGCCGGGATCACAAAGCAGAAGACGGGGCGGGGGTCCGGCCGCAGGGCGGGGCTCGAGCAGAGGCCCACGGGTACAGCTGTGGAGATGGAGCCCGCTGTGGAAGCTCCGCGCCGCAAACCAAAGGCTCCCGAGCAGTGACCCCCCCAAAGAGTTGGCCGTATCGGGGCAGTCTCTGCCTTGGCTCGGGCAGCACTCGCCTGCCCACCCGGGACCACGCAGGGGCCGCTCTTCACCCACTCTCTCCTCCGCAGGGCAGCGGCCTCCTGCCTGCCGTGACCTGCACCTGCCGGGGCTTCTCCTCACGGACCCCCTCAGCGGAGACCGCTCTCCTCAGGGCCCCGCCTGCGGCCATGCAGGCCTCTCTCAGCCAACCTGCCCTTTTAATGTAACTACCGTCTGTCTCGTAGAAACTCGCCTGGGGAACTCGCTGGGAGGCGCTGAAAGGGGAACTCTGGGGAAACCTCTGCCAGGGTGAACCCAGGGACCGCGCACCCCAAACCCACTGACGCCAAAAACTGCATTAGAGTCACCACTGCTTCCAAAGAAATAACACGCTTTGAACGAACTCTGCGGTCTGGAGCGGCCAAGGCGAGCGAGACGCCGGTCAGGCCTCGGGCACCTGGGCCAGGAGTGAGCGCTGCTCGCTGCTCGCCGTTCCCCACGCGTGGCCGCGCCCGCGGGCTGTGCAGCAAGAGCTGCCTCGGACTCCCACCCGGACTCCCACCGCGCAGGCAGCCGCCCCCCCAGCGGGGCCTGTGGGCCAGGGGCGAGGGCGTGGAAAAGCCACACGTGTCCTCTTGGCCGTGCTGTCGTCCCACCTGCCACTGTCCCCGGCACCCAGCCAGCGGCCGGCGAGAACCGTCCTGTCGCGCGCATCTGTTTCAGCCGCACACGTGAAACATTTCCTCCCGCCACGGCCATACGATGTGGACGACTTCAAATGCATTCGCAGGAGAGCGATCCCCCCCTTCTCCCTCCGCGGCTCTCCTCTGCATTTCGCGTGACTGCGCGGCAGGGGTTCCTGCCTGCAGCCCTTTCATGCCCGCCTCAGCCGGCCGAGTTCAAAGCGCGCGCACTGAATCCCGATTTCCTGGTTACTAATCACACATTAATATTCCTATTTTCGCCTATGCTACCCGCCTCACCCAGACTTCCTCGCTTCTGCAGGGATACAGACAAATGTGATTTCACTTTTAAACAATAAACCATTAGGGTCATGTCCTCGCATCTCCGTGACGGCCCCTGGACACCTGCAGCTTCTTCTCAGAAAAAACCTGAGGCTGCGAGAAGTGAACTGCTCGAAGCCCAAATGTCCTTGCTTTTTCTGGGCTTATGTGGCAGCAGGGCCTGGACACAAAATGTGAGCCCACGCCTTGTTTAGTTTTGTCACCGGTGCAGTTGACCAAGGCTGCGTGCTGGCCTACGCCCCGGCTCGCGTCTGCAGAAATAAATAGAGCTTAAAAAAAAACCTGATAGGGCCTCCCCGGGGGCGCAGCGGTTGAGCGCTGGGTTGCGAAGCTCCCCACGGTCTCTGCGGTGCCAGTTCGATCCCCGGCTGCTCCCCGGCCACCGGAGGAGGGTCCCACATGGCGCGCAGACCTCTCCTGCCGCCCGCTGCTCCCCTCAGCAGTGTCCTTCGGTCCTTCTGCCTGCTCTGCTCCCCGCTCTGGCTCTGGTGCATCCTCTCACCCTCCTGCGCTTCTGACTGTACCCAGTGCTTGCATAAACAAACAAACAAACAAATAAATAAATAAATACATGGAAAAAAAAAAAAAACCTGATACCGGCAGGACTTACAGAGCAGGCAGGTGCTTGATGCTGAGCTGAACCCCGGCTACTGGTAGCAGTAAGAGATTTCTGCCTGCTCCTTTACACCCCTCCCTTCCCCAGGGCAATCACACTCTTCAGGCGCTCTAAGAACAAGTGCTGGCTTCATTTTGGTGCTTGCTAGGAAGTCCCCCAGGGCCGCTGGCCCACCTGCCGCTGCACTCAGCACCCAGAGCCTTCCAGGAGTCCCCTCTCATCTTTGGCATCTTGCAGGCAGACCCTGGAAAGACCTGGGGTCTTTAGGAGCTCCCTCCCACCTCTGGCCTGGCCTCTGGGGGCCACCGCACAGCCTCACGGGCCACCCCACCCTGGGCAGGGACTCAGATGAGCGGGCGGCCCAGTCAGCCTGCCAGTCTCCTGAAACTCCCCAGACAGAAGCACAGCGGGCAGGAAGCCCTGAGGGTGCAGACAGGCCAGTGAAAGCCAGGTGAGGAGAGGATGCAGGGGGCCCAGCGAGGGGTCCCGGGAGTTTGCAGACCTGCAGGACACTGCACAGCCTGCACGGAGGAGTCCAAGCTGCTGGCGGCACCTTGTCCCCCCCAGAAGCACCAGCACCCACACTGTGCCTGGCAGTGTGGACAGAGCCCACAGAGGGCATCACTGCCCAGGCCACCGGTGGGAGAGGGGGGTCTTGCGCCCCTTTCCACCACATCCTGCATTGGTGCTGTAGGTAAGGGGGCGCCTCCCCAACCCCCCAGGGCCGCCCCGGGGGGAACAGTGCAGCGGGTGCCCCAGTGCCCCAGAGCTGGCCAGGGGAGTAGAGGCTCGTGCAGCGGAGGCCAGATACGGCCCTCCCACCCCCGGCCCAGCTCAGCCCAGAGCGCTTGCAGGGCAGCACGCCCTGGCCCAGACGGCTGCCTGGAGCTGGCTGCGCCCCAAAAGGAAGCTGGTCCGTCTGCGCCCTAAAGGGAAGCTGGCCCAGAGCGGTGGGGACCCGTGATGCAGAGAGGACCCGCCTCCCACCAGCCAGAGGTGCCCCCTGAGATAAGGCTCCCCGCAGCTGCTGCTCGGGCCCTGGACCCGCGACTGCTGAGTAAGTGGGGACCCCGCGGGCGCTTTCTACGTGAGGCGTCCCCTCCTAACGAACTCCTTCTGGGGTGGGGGTGGGGGCAGGAAAGTGACAACACTGACCCACAAAAGCACGGCACAGAAGAGGGGAACAAAGCCCAGCGTGCCTGAGCAGTGAGGCCAGGAGTGCCTGGGGGGGGGGGGGCAGGGGCCTGGCAGGGGGTCCAGGGGAGCAGCAGGGGGTGAGGGGGGAGGGGCATGCAGCAATGGGGGACCTCACTGCTCCAGGCTCCAGGGGCATTGACGCCAAGATCTCTTAGGAAATTCGGGGTCACAAATAGGCCGAGGACAGGCTGGGGTGCACGCCCTGTGGGGACCTGGCCAGGTAAGGAGGCTGCAGGGTCAGACCCGGCGACCCGGCCCCCTACACACTGAGGGGGAGACCCGGCCCCCCACCACTGAGGGGGCTCCTACTGGCCCCTAGGGGCAGGGGCTGCTGGTTTTACAGAAAATGTTGGAACCTTGGCTGAAACTGCTCACTCGCCGGGGTACCCCCAAAGTGAAGTCACAGATTTCCATGCGCACGGAAATGACTGGAATGCAACAAAAAGGAAAGAACAGTCGGAATATCCCAGTACTCTTACCCTCAAGCTCATTCCCACGCGGAAAGTGACTAGTTTTACTAAACAACATATTTGAGAGCTGGTTTCCATCATTCTCCCGACATTGTTACCTGACACAATTTCCATTTTGCAGGGAGGGCTCAGCTCTCACATCTTATTGAAAAAGACAGCACTTGCGCAGTTGCATGCTAGACGTTTGTGCTTCCAAAGGACCAAGGCTGGGACACGCAGTCCCCTTGTTGGTTTCCAGACCCTGTCGCTCGGGAGGGCTTTAGGCAGGCACGGAAGACCAGCCCACCCGCTGCTGCTGGGCGCCCTCTAGCTGGGCCCTGCTTGGGGGTTCAGTGCTGTGGGCTGTTCGCCTCAGTCCGCCCAGGGCCAGGCACACCCCACGTGTCTCCGTGTGACGGGTGGAAGGTGCTGGGCGGCAGCCACCAGCTCCAACCGCGCAGCTTGCTGGACGCAGGCTGACCCTGTACAACTGAGCAGAAACAAGAGGCTCACGGAGACAGGTAAGGCCAGAACAGGGCAGGGGCACGTGGGTGGGGTAACAAAGCCCCCCATGGACAATTAGCCAGAAAACGGACCCCCTTTGGGAGCTGGGCAGTCACTGCCCCCTCTCCAACTTCCAGATGTTGAGAGCGGCAGGTGCAAGTGCTCCCGTCCGCAGCAGCGATTTGAACCCCAGAGTTATATTTTAGGGAAATGAGTCAGAAGTCTGGCATCACATTAGCCAAAAAGATAAAGTGCACGCATGATACCTGATCCTTCTCCATGAATTATATTGTTAGGGGTGCGCACTGTAAGAGCTGGGGTCCGTTTACCTAGTAAGACAAGTCATTTCCGGCTTACACCTGCCTTGCTTGCTTTGCTCTCTGAGCCCCCCACAGGTTTTCTCACTAACTTCAGAGCAGGAGGGAAAGAGGAAGTGCAGCGGCTCTTGACTTCAAAGGGCCTAGCGGAGTGTGAATCCTCTAGCGGCTTTTCGATTTCTGAGCCCGAGCTTCTGTCTGGAATTAGGTGTCGCCGCAGCTGACTCAAACAGGCTCTAAAAAATGAGCCCCCCGAGGACAGTTTTGGTTATAAAACAAATGCCCCTGGCAGAAAAACAAGTTGAAGGGGAAAATATTTCTAAGTCTGGTCTTCAGTAGAACTTGGCCAAGATTCTCAGGAACACCGGGGAAATCCATTGCCAGTGGTGGGTACTCCACCCCTTTCCAGAAACATCTGTAGTGCCAGAGATGGTGAGCCCGGCTTCTCCCAAGGTAGAGGGAACACCTCCTGGAAGCCGGGGTCGCAGCCGGCCGGGAGGAAGGTTGACGCACCCGGCGAGGGTCCCGGGAGCCGCGCGTCCCGCTGGCCGCGTAGGTAGGCTCCCTGCTTGCTCCTCTGCTCCTCTGAATCTCCCCTAACAGCGCGGTGGTGTTCTGCTAGTTGGGCTTGGTGGCCGTGGACGAATGAGCTGGACAGGGGGTCACCTGGGTGTCAGCTTTGAGCTACGAGGCCCTTGTGTCCTTGCACAGGGAGACGCGGCCCGTGGCGTCACTCTGAGAGGTTCTTTGGATTAAAGAGATGGCCAAAGAGGCCGGAGTCATTCTCCAACTCTGCCTGTGCCCCAAAATATCCAGGGGCCACGGGCAAAGCCTCGTGGGGAGCCGAGCAGAGAGAGAACAAAGTCACCCAGACGGGGCGAGTGGGGCCGCAGCAAAACCTGGCCTTGGGGCTTTTTTTTAAAAAAGATTTATTTTATTTACTGATGCAGACAAGAGCTGGGTGTAGGCCAGCGGTGCGGGCGAGAGAGGATCGCCCTGGGTGCTCTCTCCTGGCTCCGAGACATCGTCATTCCGGGTGCTGCTTGGGCGGGGTCCTCTGTGGTCTCTGGGCAGCATGTTCTTTCAAGACCATCGACTTTTGAATCTAGGTTATTACAAAGAGATGTGGGGAAAAGGACGTGGCTATTTTACGGCAAAAAACTTAACCTCAGAAAAAAATTTAAACATTTTTGAATGTTTAAATCGAAAAAAATTTCCATTTTAGCAGCTATAAAATCAGAACAGCTGACAAACTCTATCGGGGCGTGCCCGCTCCTGCAACCTGCAGTCACCGCCCGCGGAGCTGCCAGCGGTCTCCCGGCTGCAGCAGCTCAACTGCGAAGGACAAATGGCCGCTTGTGATCGTCATAAACGTGGTGATGACGCACTATTACCTCACCAGGCGGTAGAGTCGTGAGGAAATGTCAATTCTGCATTTTTTTCCTGACCTGGACTTTCTGCTAGCAATGGAAGTGGGTGGAAAGCGAGGACACACGCGGGCTCGCTTCAGGGAATGGTGGTGTCAGACTCGACCTCCCGAGCGCGAAGAGGAAGTTCTACTGTGTCCGTCAAGGGTTTTTATCTTTGCTTCTCAGGCTCAGTCAGCCCCTAATGCTTCCCTGTAATCCACCAGCATTCTCCCTGGCTGAGAACAGCAGCCAGCCCGCCCGGACTGCCCTCGCTCTGTACAGATCCTTGCTCCGCAGAACGCGGCCTCTCAGAGAGAAAAACAGCGGGGTTACTGTGATCAAACACGGCCTGATGCTGATGCGTGGCGCTTCGGTGTGTTTCCAGAGGACCTGGTTTGCAGGCTGTTCATCATCCGCAGGGTCACACGTTAATTTCATCAATAAGGAGCCGTAGCAGCGGGAAGAACAGTGACGTGAAGGGGTGTCTCCTGCTCTGTCAACGGCCCCGCAGCCGAGGTCTAGCCACGGAATTCTATTTGGAACACACCAAACCACTGAAATCCCTTTTTAAACTGAAAATGCCAAGTCATGTCTGTGAGCCCGGAGCAGAGCTGCTTGGAAGGTCGGCTGGGCCGCCCGCCCTGTCCACAGCTGCCTGGTCTTCAGCAGGTGGCGTGGGATTTCTAAGAGCAGCCGCTCACCCAGGCGGAATCCGCTTCTCTAAATTCAGTTCCTCTGAAATGGAGGTTCTCAAAGGAACCTTGTCTTCATTCCCTCCAGGCCTGCGGGCGCATCTCCAGCCCCTTCACCACCTGCCCCTGCAAAAATTCAGCCTCTGCAAAGCACAGGCAAAATACCAGGAATTTCTTCTTAGTTTGTAAAACAAAATTTCCCTCTCCTACATGAAGACTGTTTCACGGCCTCCCTGGTGGCCCAGGGGTTGAGCCTCAGGTTGTCACCGCCATGGCCTGAGAACGACCCCCGGCCAGGGAGTGACCCACAGGGCGCAGGAGCCTCTCCTGTCTCCCCGCTGCTCCCCTCAGCAGTGGGTTCCAGTCAATCTGCTGAACTGTTCTGCTCCCCACTGTCTCTGGCAAGTCCTCACCCCCGCACCTCTGGCCTGTACCCCAGCTCTTCTACACAAAAACAAGAATTAAGAAAAACTAAGAATTAAGAAAGAAAATCGTTTCAGAGTGAGTTCCCTGGCTGGCTGGCGCCTGAGCACCCGGATGAGCAGGACGGCGCTTCTCCGTGATCTGACCCGCTGGGCCGGGACTTGCGTGGGCTCTCTGTCCCGCGGACTCCCTCCCGCCGGCCCCGGGGGTGTGGGTGCGGCATCTCTAGGACGCCCTAAGGCCCACGCACATGAGGAGAAGCAGGTTTGTCCCGAAGGCGGGGCTGGGGTCCGCTCTCCCTGCCCTCGTGGGGAGCCCACGCCGAAGGCCGCCCGTGCCTGCACCCCAGGCCCCGCAGCGAGCGGCTGTGCGAGCCCCAGCGAGCCCCGCTCAGGACACAGCTGTGACTCCTAAAAATGGCAACAGGAGGTGATGTGGGTCTCCGTTTCTGTTTCTGTAGGATGTGACCGTGATGGCGTCCATGTTACTGATCCTTCTGGGGGCCACCGTGCCCCTGCCGGCAGACCTGCTTCCTGATCCAAAGAGTAAGCGCCTCCTGGTAAATTCAGTAACGTTCTGTAGAGAGGGGTACACTGCAGACGCAGCAGCGTGCTCCTCCTTCAGCCCTCGGCCGGGAGAGCACAGATGAGTCGTTTCGAAGGGACGGACCGTCCATCCTTGCCAGGACACAAACCGCCCTGGGAGGCTACGTTGGCTGACGTGCATCCTGGCTGCGAAGCCCCGTGCCGCGCTGTGGGCAGAGCCCGGGCGTCTCCCCAGGCATGGACAGGGCGGTGCAGGCAGAGCCCGGGGGCTGGATGGGGCGGGGTAGGGTGATGTCAGGGGAGGCCATAGGTCAAGGCAGAGCCCCGGCCCCCCCATGTGAACCACATCGGGGTTCGTGCGGGTGTGTACAGTAGTGTCTTCCTTTTAGTACAAAATAAATAAACTAACGATGAGTCGTATAACCGCAGGCCCAGAGGAAGGGCGAGGAGGATCCGGGTGTCAGGGCCGGGCTATGGACAACCTGGATTTTCCTTTTCTGCTTGTCTGGGCTTTCCCAAACTCCTACTGCGTGAAGGCAGTGGTTTTATGACTTCAATTAAAAGTCATAATTGAAAACCATTAAATGGTTCATTAGGAAAACATTTGTCCCTTCTGTGAGCGTCTCCGAGGGCAGCTTTCACCACCCTCTGCGGCGGGAACCCCGAGGAGGCCATGGCCGACCTCCAGGGCCCGCGGAGAGGTCAGCGCGTCTGCATATGCAGGAAATGGCCGCCGACAGTGCGCACTCTATTTGACACACCTGGGGGTTCTAATTTAATCCATGTCATTCAAAAAAAATTCTAGAAACAGACCAATAAATCGCCCCAGCTCACTAACGGCTCACCCCCAGTTTGAAGGCCACGACGACCAAGATTGCTGCTAAGTGTCAGGTCCCTGTGCTGGGAGAGGCGTGCGGGTGCCACGGCAGACACCTGGGCAGGGTGAAGGATCATGACTTAAAAGCAATGGTGAGGAGACTCCTCCGGGGTCGCAGCCACGCTGATTGCAGCCCGAGACGGGAGCAGCGCGGTGTCTGCGTCCGGGAGAGACGGGAAACACTGGGCAGCGCCAGCAAGTAGTTTCAGAACGGGAAAAGCCCTGCCCGGCCCGCCGAGCATCATCTCGCCCTTTTCTCTCCTCCACAGTTTCGCTTCTGCCGCCGGTCAACTTCACCGTGGGGGTCGCTGGCTTGGCACAAGTGCTCCTGCGCTGGGAAGCCAACCCCGCTCAGGAGCTGGGCTCTGCCGCGCTGGGCTACCAGGTGAAGATCCACGCTCCAGAGGAAGTCGACGTGAGTGCCTGGCGCCTGCGGGGGCGCATCTTAAATTAGCAGCATCTTCCTGATCAGGGGGCGTGCTGGGGGGCGCTCCGTGCTCCCTGGAGGCAGCGCCTCTGCCGAGCTCACCTTGGGAGCTGAAGTAGGAGCGCGGTCTGTGGAGCCAGCAGCACGGGACACTGCACCCGTCAGCTCTTCCACTTGAGAAGGGGTTCCAAGGCCCGAGGCAGAGTGTGTGAGGTGCTGGAGCAGCTGAGCGAGGCGGGGAGGGCACTGCCCATCACACAGGTGCCGCCCAGGCCCTGCCATCAGGTCCCGCCTGTGCGACCTTGGCCCAGTGCCCTGACCTCCGGGCGCGGCTGCCGGCACACCAGGGCGCGGCCCTGTTAGAGAGAGAAGTGCAGCGACTATTTTTCGCTCCCCATGGATGTCTAGAGCATTTTCTGTGAGAGGTGACCTCTGCGGAGGAGGTGGCACTGGAGGTGGGGTCAGGTGGAATCTGAGTCTTGCTTCCGATATTGTCCGCGAGGACAACGTGTCCAGGCGCAGCGGAGGAGTCCCTGGTGTAATCACAAGGGCCCAAGAGCAAGCTCAGACCCGAGAATGGGGTGATCACGCAGGTGTCCATTTTGAGCCCCTCACTGGGTGTGTAAAAAGCCGTGAAGGTTCATGTGGACGACGTGTGTTGGGGGTGAGCAGGCACCCCTGAAACCAGGTGTTTCGTTTTTTTCTAGCAAAACCACCTCATTGCATTTATTTGTGGGCCGTTTAAGAAGTGGAAGAAATGACTCGGGTTAAAGCGGATCTCGGCAGGTGATTCCCCTTCTGTGTATCACGACTTGTGGGTTTTCTTTCCAGTATGAAACCCCAAAAACGCAGAGCAGGCGCGCCATCACCCTCCACCAGGGCCTCTCCGCCAGCGTGAGGACCATCCTGTTGGCCGGGGGCCCCGACCGCCCTGCCAGCCCCTGGGTGTCCGCCGCGCTGGATGCCCCACCAGGTGAGGCAGGCCCCGAGCGCCCCGGTGGCAGCTAGTGTGAGACCCGCAGCTCCCTTCCCTGTCCACGGTCGCCACTGTTTCTGGCCATCAGCATCCTGCCCCAGGGCCCGCGCCTCCCGCTGACCGGATCCAGGCCCTGCCGGCACAGCCGCAGGCTTCAGGCTCCTACAAGCCTTAAAATCTGGGCCGATCGGATGGGTGAAGAGGCCACACTGGGTCCTAAGACACCTGCCACCACACCCTACGCGAAACTCCCCTCCTTGCGGGAGGCGCTGACCGGGACCCCCGGCGCACCCAGCTGATGCCGCCCGGGCCCTGGCTCCCCCGGCCTGGCTGTCTGAGTCCTGCTCACCTCCGAGCCCGGCCAGGCCCCAGCCCTTCCAGGGCTCCTTTCTGCTACCCCCAGGGAAGGAAGGACATCCTCCCGCCCCAGGACTCACGCCGGCCGTCACCCCCTCTGCACACACCGCCCGTGTGTCTTTCCCAAATGCAAGCACCCAGCCACCCCACCCGTCGGCCCGCGGCAGCGCCCGTCCGCGGCGTCCACAAGAGGGTCCAGCCCTCACCCAGGGCCCTCCTGCCGGCGAGCACAGGGTCCCACGTCCATGGCTCCTCACACCCGATCTGAAGAAAACTGCGCTGACGGTTCCTGGAAGCCACGAGACCGGACAGGCGGACAGGCCAGGAGAGGGGCCGCGGGCCATGCTGCCCAGGGCACAGCTGGGGTGCCAGACGTAGAACCAGGGACTCCTGTTGTTACTCACTGCACATGAGCGTGCGCGCACACATGGTAGCGGCCCCAGCCCTGGGGCGTGTGAGTGGCCTGGCCAGGCTGGGCCCAGGGGACTCTCCCACGGACCACAGTCCCCAAGTGCGCCACACGGGGGCAAATCTGCGCAGGCCCGAGGCTTCAGCTGGGCCGAGGGGCTGGCCCCACAGGCAGAGAGAAACTCAGGGCGGACACGGCTCCAGCCACAGGCTGACCCACTCATGTATGTGTCTGTCTGTCTGTCTGTCTCACACCTGGGCGCACCCATGGGGCCCTTGGAGGCATCCGCGCAGCGAGCTGCCCTCCAGCACTCAGCTCAGGCTGGCACCAGTGCAAAAGTCCCCACTGCTGCCTCCATGCGCCTAATGCAGGCCGGTGGCCCGGGACAGGGCTGGGGCGGGGCGGCGGGGCTCTGCGCAGCACGTGGGTGTGCCATCTGGCCAGCAGTGCGGAGCCGCCTGACCTCAGCCCAACAGACCTGGGTTCTGCCGCCCCCCCCAGGGCGCTGACAGGTGGGAAAACAGCAGGCGGGTAAGGGGTGGAAGGGTCACAGCCAATGACTCAGGAACTCGGCCTCCTGACAGCGGGGTGCGGACTCGGGTGTGAGGACAGCACACGTGCTCCTCTCGGTGACCACTCACGCCCCCCAAAGCTGGCAAGTCCCTCAGGGCCAGGAACTAGGGCTTAGCCTACGGGGCTTCAGCGGCAGCCAGCTGGCTCGTCACTGGTCTCCGAGACTCGACGGGAGGACACGAGGCCCCGTCCCGCCATCCTGCGGGAAGCCCGGTCCACAGGCGGCCACGGCAGCGCCGGTCCTTCTCATGTCCCGTCTAGGGTCACCCGGGACCTCGGTGCTGAACTTAACCTGCACCACCCACACCTGGGCCAGCGAGGACCCGCCAAGGCGGTACCTGGTTTCCCTCTGCTGCTCCTGGCTGCTGGGTGAGGCCGCCCCTGAGGACGGCCAGTACTTCCTCTACTACAGGTCAGTCCGCAGGGGCCGCTTCCCGGGCTGCCACGCCCGCCACGCCCCCCCCCCCCCCCCCCCCCCCCCCGTGTGCCCACCACACTCCCCATCACCCCGCAGGTACGGTGCGAGGACCGAGGCCTGCCAGGAGTACGGCGTGGACGCGCTGGGGAGGCACGTGGCCTGCCGTGTCCCCAGCACCTTCATCAGCAGCAAGGGCCTGGAGTGGCTGGCCGTGCGCGTGAACGGCTCCAGCCGGCGGGCGGCCATCCGGCCCCTGGACCAGCTCTTTGCCCTTCCTGCCATCGGTGAGGCCCAACCTGAAGCTGAGCTGGGCTGCTCCAGGCCCAAACCACAGGCCAGGTTTCTCAGCTCAGCACCACCGAGGGTCTTGTCGGGGACAGTAGCCCAAGTGGGGCCTGGGGCAGACTCCGGAGCGGAGAGGAAAGATAAATGAGCCTAATCTAGTCCCTTTAGACAAGAGAAAGCCAGAGCTCCCCGCTCTACCCCCCAAAGCCAAACAGGTGCCGAAAACAACACAAACCAAAAACCCAAGGCCAGGGAGGGCGCGTGGGTGACCCAGGGCCGGGGCGGGTGGGGGCTCCGGGCAGTTCCTCTCCAAGATCTGGTCAGCCCAGGCTGGGTCAGCTTGTGAGTCCATGAGGCTGGTGGGCGGTGGCACTCGGCCTCTCCGGGCCAGCTGGTGCAGGGATCCCGGGCTTGCCAGGGGACCCCTCTCCGGGGCCACACGCAGGTTCAGGCCTGAGCTGCTGCTGTCTGGGCTTGGAGATTCCGGACTCCGTCCTGCCTAGGGATGCCAGGGCCGTGCAGGGAGCGGGCAGCCAGCCCACCCTGACCCGCCCCCTTTGGCCTAGATCGAGTCAACCCCCCGGGGAACGTCACGGCCACTGCGGAAGGAAGCTGCCTGTCCGTCCACTGGGAGAAGCCCGTCTCCGCCTTCCCCACGCATTGCTTTGACTATGAAGTGAGGATCCACAATGAGAGGAAGGACTACCTCCAGGTGACACCTCAGGCCTCCCCCGGCCTGCTCTGTTCCTTAGACCTATTTAAAAATGGCCGTCAGGGGCTGTTCTGGTTACATTTCCTGAGGCCGAAGCCAAAGGCACCCGCCTGGGTTCTGTGGCAACAAACCACGCCTTCACGACCTTTCCTCTTGAAAGGACATATCTGCCCTTGAAAATAACCCCCAGGAGGGCCTCCCTGGTGGCGCAGTGGTTGAGCGCTGGGCTGCGAAGCTGCCTGCAGCCTCTGCAGCACCAGATCAATCCCGGCTGGCCAGCGAGGGTCCCACATGGCGCGGCAGACCCCTCCTGTCTCCCCGCTGCTCCCCTCAGCAGTGTGTTTCATCAGTCTGTCTGTTCTGCTCCCCGCTCTGTCTCTGGTGAATCCTCTCACCCTCCCACGCATCAAAGAAAAAGAAAATAACGCCCGGGAGCTACAGCCTCATTAGAGAGACCAGCGCAGCCGCTGTGGAAGCGGGAAGCAGCTCCTCAAAGCTGGGCATGGAGTGGCAGCGCGGGCGGGCGGTGGAGCAGGGGCCAGGGACACTCCTCGGCACCCAGCTGACCTCCCTGGGCCTGAGCCTCCGCCTCAGCACTGACGAGCCCGATCCTTGGGGTCAGGTGACGCGTGCGGAGACCCTGACGGCGCTTTCCCCCCATTTAGACGGAGAAAATGCAAAACACCACGTTCGTCGGGATCACGGACGGGGCTTCCCGGCACGCCATCCGAGTCCGGGCGGCGGTGAGCGCGCGGTGCAGACCCCAGGGCTCCTGGGGGGAGTGGAGCCGGACTGTCTACGCGGGTGAGCATCTGTCCACTTCGTGCAGGCGCGGGCTCGGGCCGGGCGGTCAGGCCTGTGCCTGTGGCCCCAGGGGAGTCATCGCCCCCGGGAACCTGCCCGGCCCTGCCACCTGATTTGCCCCTGATGATCTGATTCGGCTTCTAGTCTGTCTTTTAAACCCTGTCTTGACGGGGAGGCTGTAAGTCCTGAGCGGTGGTAGCCGCGCCCAGGCCCCCTGAGGCCAACCTTCCAGATCTGGGGCTTAGGACAACCCAAGGCTGGAGTAAGTGGGCCCGACCTCCGACCTCTGCTGGGCTTTGTCCGTGCGGCTGGGGTCGTGTGAGGCGGGCGCCGTTCTGAGGGCTCTGTTGCGCGTGGGGGCCTGTCCCTGCCCGGGCACCCGCCGGCCTTTGTCAGCCACCCCTTCCCCACTCCCCGGTCCCAGCGCCTGGCAGCTGCTGTCTGTCCCCACCCCTGTGACTCCCCACATCTGATTTTTAATTCATGCTTCTGTTACTTAATGAAAATTCCAGAATTGAATAAGCGTCAGGGCGCCCCAAATCTGATCGACCCCTGGGTCTTCAGCATAAGAGTTTGTTGGGCGTCAGGGTCTCCCGGGGCCTGGCTTGGCTGTGCAGCTGGGTCTGCCCCCTGGGAAATGTGGGTGCTGAGCCCAGTCCCCCCCCACCATGGCCGTGCTGAGCGGGACGGCTTCCCTGCTGATGCGCTGGCTCCTAACTTAGCTTCCCTCCGCATTCACAGTGCGCTTCCCCCTGCTAGTTCCTAAATAGCAGCGTCCAACGTCTAGGCTCGCTGCCATGCCCCCGGGAACCCCGCTGCCAGCACCCCTTCATCCACTGCCGCCCTTCCCGGCAGATGAGCTGGTCCCTGTCACCGCTCACCCGTGGGGGGTCATTGCTGAACTGAATCAACACCGACCTCTATTAAATGGTGACTGAGAACCACGAAAGGCGCCCTCCGCGCCCCTGAGGGGCCTGGATGCTCAGGGGCTCTCCAGGCCTGGGTTTCCTCTGGCCCCCCTCCCGCCCCTAGCCCACCCCCTTCTTGGGTGCCAGGAAGCCCAGCCCCTTCCAGAGCAGGAGGCAGAGCCCAGCGACACGAGTGCTCAGAGGTTGTCAACCAGCCACGAAGGGGTTATTGGGGGGTGATGTTCTCTCATCGGTAGCGTGAGTCAATGAGCAGAGCTGGGGTTTAACTGACCCCTTATCGCTCAAGTTTATGGACAAAGAGAGACTTGGGACAGCAGGTGGGGGAGGAGAGGAGGCGGCCTGGGGGCGCCACTGTCCAGCCAGCACTGCTGGAGCACTTTTATTTTGGGAGGAAGAGCAGTTTCACTTTATCAGCGCCCCATCAGCCACCCTGCCTGGCTTCTCTCTTATCTTCGGGGCTAACTTCCGCTTTGTTGCTTCCTCCACTTCCGGAGTCTCCTGGTCCTCCTTATCTTCGCTATCTCTTGTTTACCAAAACCTTGGCTTCCTGCTCCGGGCTTGGAGGGCTTTTCTGGGGCGCCCCTCTCTCCTCACTCCCCTCCAGGTGCTGGGAGTCACCACAGGGGTTGGCGCCGGTGTGGACAGTGGGGGTCCTGGGTGGCCAGGCCTCTGGCCCTTATCGCTGTGGGTCCCGGCCACAGTGACCAGCGGTGAAGGCCGCGAGAGGGGTGAGGGCTGGGCCCACTTCGATGCATCTTCCGCAGATTCCTTCCGCTGGAGATGGGCGTGTGCGGCTGCGGGGAGCCGCGAAGTCCCCATCCACTCAGGGCTGGGGCTCGGGCCTTCGGTCAAGGCCACGGGGGAGCGGCCACCTTGCGGCTTCTCCTCCAGTAAGCCCCGGCCTGGCCTCCCTGCCCGCGGCAGCTCCCCGTGAGTTTGGGGGTTCAGAGAGTCAAGCGTCCGCAGGGGTTCGTGACAACAGTCCAGAGAGCTGGGCTGGGCTGACCGCTGCGCTGATGACCGGCTCTTTCCTCAGGACACAGCCAGGGTCAGTCACCATGAGAATGGCCTCAGGTCCCTCGCTCTGCACAGCGAACCCCCATCTCGCCTGCTGGTTCTCTGCTAGGTTTTCAATAAACCTGCCTTTTCTGTCTGCTACTCTCTCTCTGGTGAATCCTTGCACCCCATGCCTCCAGCCTGCACCCCGATTCTTCCCCACAACATCCTTTCACCCTCTCGTACCACGTCCTGGGGCACCATGTCCTGGGGCTGTGAAGGGGCCTCCAGGACCGCTGCAGGCTGCTGGGCCAGAGGGCTTCCGGCACCGGCCTCAGCCTTTGCCAGGTGTGGAGTGTTGGGGTGATCATTCCCTGCAGGGCCGAGCTTCTGCTCTCGGCTCTGGCTGCACTGGGAGGAGGCTCGTCCTGGGGTCTGGGGATGCAGGGGGTGAGCTGAGCCTTAGCGCCCACCCAGGGTCTAACGGCCATCACAACCACCATGGCCCGAGTGCCCACTGTGCACACACAGGGCCCAGACTTGGCCTCTGCCCCTCAGCCGGGCCCTGCTCACAGCCGCAGCAGCGCGCGGAGGACATGCTCAACATGGCCTTGTGGCAGGCACAGGTGGGGCTTCCCCAAGCCCCCAGGCAACCTGGGGGAGGCCCCCGCAGTCTCAGCTGCTTCAGCAGGTTGGCAAGAAGGGCCCAGCAGCCCTGAGAGGACAAGGAGTTCTGGGGCCTGGGGCTCATGCGTCCTTCCTCACATGGGGACGGCACTGCCCCTTCTCCCCGTGAACCCCGCAGGCAGTGCGTGCGCACACCCCAGCAGGGACGCGTCCACTCTCCACATTCCAGCTCGCCTGTTGCCGGTCCCCCAAACAGCTACAAGCCTCAGCCTCTGCCCCGGCTGGGTCGCTCAGGCGCTTGTCCACCGCGGCGGCCTCGGCTGCCCCGCCCTGCGGCCCCCTAAGCGGGTGAAGCCGGCCGGGCACGCTCAGCCACACGCGCTTGCTCCTACCCCTGCCTGCTCCTGCCCCTGCTGCGCCTTCACCAGGACCTCCCAGCCTCGCCTCCCACAAGGGGGCCCAGGAGACGACCCTCCCCCCCGCCCCTGCCCCGGCCCCAGCCAGGGCTTCTCCCAAAATCCTACTGCGGGGTGCGAGGACGCCGAGTAGCGCGGCTTCATGGGGGTCCCCCTCGACTCATTAGCCCTTTTCCCTTGAAACGGGCAGCAGGCAGCAGGGGGGCCCCACGGCAGAGCCCATCGAGGAGCCGCCAGTCTGAACCCCTCGTCGTGGGAGGCGAGGGCTGCTCCGAGGCAGCGGGGGGCAGCCGGGTGCCCGTGAGGGTCAGGGCCTGGGATTCTGGCTTCTCCACGGCCCTTCCACCCCCGCAGCGCCCCCCCCCCCTCCCTCCCCGGTCCCCGCTCCATGACGCGGCCTGTGCTCTGGTCGGATGGCTGAGATGGCAAAAGTGAGGGGAGCCGAGACACCTGGCTGCGGGCCTCGGGGCCGCCAGGGCTGCTCTGTCCAAGGACAGCTCGGGTGCTTCCTTTTCGAGAATCATCCCTGAACCACCAAGCAGCGGCGCCTCTAACGTCTCAGCGGCCTGTGGTGTCTGCCTTGACGGCAGGAGGAACCTTCTCCCAGGGACCTGGAGGTGCTGGTTCTGAGGACAGTCTCCGAGGCCAGGCCCGGGTGCCATCCACGCAGCTCTCCCGGCGCCCACTCTCCACCCTGACCCGGAGGCCACACACTTCGGGCGGTCCCCGGTGCTGCCCGCGGGGGGGTCCAAGCAGACGCTTCTCCGGTTCTGGTCTTTGCAGGGTGGACTCGGTTTTTGGCAGTAAACCCGAGCAGCGGGGGCCGCCTGGCGCCCCTGTGGGCGGGGATGTGAAGGCTTTTCCGGGCGTGAAGGCCACCGGCCACTGTGCCTTCTGAGGCCGGCGCGGGGGGCTTGGGAGGGGCGAGCAGCTCCCTTCACAATGGACTACGGGGAGGAGGTTTCAAAACCCCGACACTGCAGAAGCCTGGCCGGCACCCCCCCATTTGCCCGCGCCCTGCAGGCAGCCCCCGGCCAGCACTGGCACCTCGCTTCCAACGAAATCAATCTCTGACGCTGCCGACCCGGGGAGCGCCCGCCAGGCCCGGGGCGCGGACGTGGGCGCCCGAGTGGTTTAACCGAAGACGCTGCCACGGGCCGGAGCCAACGGCGCTGCTATCAGGCGGCGACACAAGCCCCCCGCCGGCGCTGACCCTGGTAACGCTTAGACACGCTCGTGCCCTCTGCAAACCCAGAGCGTCACCCGTCGGCCTGACCTCGCGCACGGGTGCCTCCTGCCCGCACCCCGCTCCAGGCCCGCCGGGGCGGCGCAGGGCTCTGGGCGAGCTCGCTGGGCTCCCGAGAGCGTGTGCGCGGGGTGAGTCTCACGGGAGGGATGAGGCCAGCGGGAAGGCGCCTCGGGGAGCAGAGGGGGGCTGGGAAGCCCAAGGACGCGCGAGGACTTTGGGCCCGCACAGCCCCTTCTCTTGCGGGAGAAACCAGCGGCACAGACTGGGAGTGGGGCGGCTTCCCGGGTGCCGCCACCCAGCAGAGCCGCCCCCACCTGGACGCGCCTCTCCGCCTTAAGCCCTTGGGCCCGGGCGGGCGGGCGCCACAGGCAGGAGGCCCCGGCACCGACAGTTGCTACGTGGCGAGGGAGGAAGGGCTGGGGCCTCGGCCACAGCCGGGGGCACTCGCAGGCCGACTGGGCTCTCTGGAGGGCACCACGCGGCCTGCCAGCGCGTGACCGTCCACACCACCGGCGTCCAGGACGGCATTTCACTCCCAGCGCGCGGGAATCCGCCCCCGGCAGGTGGAAGCCGCACGGCCCTCGGGGGGCGGCCTGTGGGCAGCACTGGCGCGGCCTGACGCTGGCGTCCCCCTCCTCTTCCCTGCGGTGGGGCCGCGGTCAGGGAGGTTCTGAGGGAACTCAGACCAGAAAGCGCGTCCAGCGGCGTCCGCGCCGCACTCTGAACTCTGTCCTCCGACCTCGCACGTCCGCGCTCCCCTCCAGGCCGACTCGCTGCAGCGCGGCGGGCCCGCAAGCAGGGCTGACGTGCAGCTTCTCCACCCGACACCCTCACCCACCGCCAAGAGGCCTGGCCCCCACGTCACGCACCCCCACCCCGCCCGTGCCTCCCAGGGGTGCTGAGTCCTGCGTTTTCTGCACATCAGCTGCGAGACTGAGGGTGCCCCCACCCCGGGAACCGAAGGCTGGGAAGGACGAGCCCCAAGCGCAGCGTCGCCTGAGCCCACGCCCCAGCCCGGCCTCCGCGCCTGGCCGGCAGGTCTCTGCCGACTCCCCTGACTCCCTTTTCTCCCCAGGGACTGACGAGTGGAGGCCGTGGACTGGGTGGCTCCTCACTGTGCTGATGGCCACCGCCTGCCTCGGGCTGCTGCTGCTCTCCCTGGCCTGCAGGCTGTAAGTCCCCACCCCGGGCGCACCCTGGGGCTGAGAGGGGACTTCTGACGTCCGGCCAGGGGCCCACTGGACCAGGGCTCTGGCGGGGCGGGGGGCACTTGGGGGTCTTGCCTGACTGTCTTGCCAGGAGCCCCGGGGCGGCTGTGTAGCTACGGCCAGGGCCTTGGCATCCCGCCCTCCTTGAAAATGCCCTCGGTCCACGCGATTCTGCGACACCTTTTACCTTCGTGTTCTTGGACTTCCCCACAGCCTCCTGCTCAGGGCCTGGCGGCGCAGCCCGGCCCTCCCATCCCCCGGTTCGTGGGCAGCCCAGGCTGAGCTCACGCAAGCACCCCTCACCCCACGGCACCGGGTCGGGTCTGCAGAGCAGCCTCTGGAGGGCCGGGGCGCGCTCACCCCGTCTCTTTCACCACCTTCAGGTGTCACCTGTGGCCCCGGCTGTTCCCGCCAGTCCCTGCACCGAAAAATACCATTAAAGATTTCTTCATGGCCCTCGAGTACGAGGTAAGGGAGGCCACGCTGGAGGCTGCCTGAGCCCTCCGCGCGATGTGGGTTGGGGTCGGCGCGGGGCTGCGGCCTTCCCTCCCGCGTGGTGGGCCCCTCCTGACGTCCATCCTTCTGCTCCTCGGCCGACTGCCCGCCTGCGTGCTCCGCAGCATCAGGGCTTCTTCCCGAGCTGGGGGCCTAGAGCGCTCCAGGCCTGGGTTCTCACCCACCCGTCAGCCATGTCCTCGCTGGCCTGGGGACCATCCCGCGAGAGCCTGTGCAGCCGGGGCGGGGGAGCCACCAGGGTCCACTGCAGGCCCAGCCAGCTGGTCCCTGGTGCATCATGGGCTGGGTCGTGGCCAGGATGGCGCTGAGGGGCAGGTGGACTGGATGGAGCCATCTGACCTCTAACACAGCCTCTCGCCCCCTTGACCTGCTGCCTGCGGGTCCAAGGGTGACCAGTGACCCTCGCAGCCCCCACGCCCTGCCAGGGGGGCAGCAGCCTTATAAAGAGCCAGCGCGCGCACCTGCGGTCGCGTGACGACACCCCCACACCATCTGCAGACCAGCGAGGGCGGCTCCGCACCAGTAAAGGCTTTATAGCCAAAACAGGCCCCGAGCTGCACGGGGCTGCAGGGGGCAGTCCGCAGGCCCCCGAGGCAGGCCGGTGATTTTGGGGATACATTCAGTTTTCTCTCCCGTGAAGCCCTCACAAGCGGATGAACCAGCTGGGGACAGGCGGCGGGACTGGGAAGGGCCCGCGACACTCAGCAAGGCGGCCGCTCTACAGCGTGCAATGTGGGTGTCTGGGGTGACCACGTGCCGGCCACGAGCCCAGTGGGGGGCACTGAGGCTGGCAGAGTTGAGAGGAAGCAGGCCCGGTGGGGAGCTGCACTCTGGGTTGTCTGGATTTGAGCTGTCACCCCCCCACCGCCCCCCAGAGGGACGTGGAGTGCGGCCTCAGCAGCACTAAACCCTCTGCCCCTCCCCATGGAAGGTCTTAACGCCGCCCCTCCTTTCCCGAGCGAGCCCCAGAGGTGTCTCGTCATAGCCGAGGTGGGGAAGAGACGCCAGCTTAAGAGCTGATGGTGGACGCGCGTGGCTTGTGAATTAAAGTCAAGTCAGGTGCAAAATCACAACTCGGGGCAGACAAGCTGGTTTCAGAAGCGGCACACGCTAAACGCCGGCTCAGGGTCGCGCTTGCTGCTCACGCTGCGGCGCTTCCTTTACCAAGAGCAAAAACGACAGCGAAAGAAACGGCAGAGAAACGTGAAGAAGCGGAAGTTCTCTACCGGCGTCTAAGGAAGGCCGCTCTGTCTTACAGGAAGCGGGTTCCAGCCAAGTGGGAATCGAAGTCATCAATTACGTGCACGAGCCCGGGCTCGAGATCCGGGAGGAAACGGTGTTCTGACGGCCCTGCTCAGCGGGACCTGGGTGCCGACGCGGGCCTGGCTTCTCGCCCAGCGCTGTCCGGACTCCTGACCCCTCGATGCAGCTGCGGGCACTACACCCAGATGTCACTCCTAAAACTTTGGGTGCTTTGCTGAACTCTCCTCCCTCCCTGGGGGCGATGGATGGATCTGACCAGCCTGCCAGGTCTTGTGCTGCGCAGGGCGAGCGTTCCCTCCCGCCACCTTCGTGATTCCCATAACTGAGCTGAGAAACATCTTTGGTGCAAGAGACTGCTTTAAGGCTGGTTCCAGCGCCCTCCCCCGGGGAGTCCCGGTTTGCCTGCTGAACTCAACCCGCATCCCCGGGGGAGGGCATCCGTGTGCTGGCCAGGCGTGTCAGCTGGGATCGGCGCATGGGAGCCTGCTGCCTGTCTTTCTCCTGAGTTCTAAGATACTTTTCCCTTCAAAAGGCGCATGCGTGAGGCGGAGGGTGGGAGGAGGCAGAGGTGTCATCTCAGGCCCCACGGCTGACCCCTGCGGCGCTGGAGACAGCCTGCCTCACAGAGAGTGCGGGTCCTGCATGGCCCCGGCAGTGCGGCAGGTCCTGCTGGGGGCTGTACCTCAAGGGGCAGCCTTGCTGTTCAGGAGGGCCGAGAGAGGCCTTGAGCGGAGCTGGGTGGAGAAGGGTATTGCGCTGGTCAAGAAGGGACATTTGTTGGCCAAGACTTGAGAGCAGCTTACGGAAGTTAGGGTCTCCCTCCCTCTCGGATCTGCGGGTGCCCAGGGTGGCCAGCGACCCCTCTTCTGAGTTCACATCTAGACGGGGCCTCTGTGATGGGTCTGTGGTGCCTGCAGACCCGGGAGCGTGTCTGGGCGGGAGGAGCAGATGGACCTGGAGTGGCCGGGGCTCTGGGGAGGGTCCTCTGTGTGCTCCAGGAGTCCCTTCGGTCCGGGCTGACGCCAAAGGTCAGCCAGATCCTGGGGCTGTTCTGAGAACCACCAGAGCCTCAGGCGCTCAGCCCAGGACAGAGGCGCGCAGCTGCTAACACTGTGACTCCCGTGCATGGGGCAGAGTTTGGTGTCCCTGGGGTCCTATGCTGGAAGCCCCCCGTGGGGCCTGTTAGCAGGTGGGGGCCTGGAGGTGATCAGACACTTGGTGGGGCTCACCCTGGGGCAGTGCCTGTGACGGTCTCCCCCATGTGAGAACATATGAGAAGAGGCAGACGGCCCTGCACACCCAACCTCACACCTCCAGCCTGTAGAGCTGGGGAGGGACGCCCTTGGGCTGACCCTCCAGCACGGCCCTGCCCAGGGTGCAGCGACTTCACCAGGGCCCAGCTGGGGCCTCCCCTGTCTCCTAGGAGGTGCAGGGCAGCAAGAGGATGACCCCAGGCCGCTTGCAGGGGCGCCCCCAGTCTCCGGGGCAGGCCCTGGGGTGCTGGGCTCACCCCTGTTCCCGCACGCTTGGACACAGCTGCCCTGGGTCCCGCTCGCCTCTGTCAAAGCAGAGCCCGGAAACCTGGAGAGTGGGTCAGCTCCACCAAGGGGCTGGGAGGGGTGACTCTTGGGGGGACCAGGCCACCCCTCTGGGGCTGTGCTCCCTGCAGGGCTGTGGCCTTGACCTCACGCCCTGGGCCTCAGGCGACGCTTCCGCCCCCTCCGGGGCGCGCGTGCCCAGGTCAGGCACGCAGGCCGCCCAGGCCCGGGCTTGGTTGCGGGGCCCATGCGCAGACTTTGGGGACCCAAACCCCACCGGCCTCGTCCGGGAAGCCTCCACGCATGGTGGGTCCTGCCTCAGGGCTCCCTGCTGGGCCTCGGCCCTCCGTGGGGTTCTGCCGCGGGAGCCGCCGGCCACACCTCGGCCGTGGGAGTCCCGAACCCCAGCCCTGGGGGCGGCGCGTGCCCCGAGAAGGCAGAGGCGCTCTCAGGGCCCCGCAACCGCCCCGCGCCCCGCAGCGGCCGCGCCACCGGGCCAGGAGACCGGCGGGGACGGGAGCGCCGGCCTCGGGGGCGCCCTGGGCGTGCGGCGGGGCTGCGAGGCCGCAGGGGCTGCGCTCGGGGCGGCCGGACCCTGCCGTCAGGCCGTGGGAGCGCGGGCAGCGCGGGGAGGCCCCGGCTCTCCACGGGGGGCGCGTCCCTTCCCGGGGCGCGGGCGGCGCGCTGGACCCGCGGCGGGCGGAGGGCAGGGCGGGCGCGCGGGGCGGGCAGGGGGGCGCCGGGCGGGCGGGAGGGGGGGGGGGCGGCGGGAGCCCGAGCTTCGCCCGCCCAGCGGCGCAGACGCCACCGCCCCCCGGGCCGCAGCGGGACGGCGCCCCCTCTGCAGGCCCCCGCCGCCCGCCTCCCTGCCGGCCGCCGCCCCCGCAGCGCCCCCGCCGCGCCCCCAGCGGCCCGCGCCCTCCCGGGGCAGGACTCGAGCGCGGCCGCCCCCGCCCGGCCCCGCGCGCTCCTGGGCGACGAGGACCCCGGCCGCCCCCCAACGCGCGCTCCCCCCGCCCTCCCCCCGCGCCCCGCGGCCGCCCCCCCCCCCCCCACTGCCCCCCCCCGCGCGCCCCGAGCTCCCCCGCGCCGCGGACTCACGGCTGCCGCGCCCTGGGCCTCGCCTCCGCCACCCGCTGCTCCTGCGACCCCACAGTCCCCGCTCTGACACGCAGCGCCCAGGGGTCAGAGTTCAAAGGTTGCAAGCCCCTTAAAGGGCCAGCGTCCCTCTCGCCGCGTGGCCCCCCTCCCCTCCGCCCCGGGGCCACGGGCAGCCCCCAGGGGCGCCCCGTCTCTCCCCCCAGGGCGGGGCGCTGAGCTGGGCGAGGAGCTGGGGCGCGTGGTGCTGAAGAGCACAGCCCCTTCCCAGGGGAGACCCGCGCCCCATCACTGCGCTCTCGGGGCGCTCCGCTCTTCGGAGCCCCGCTCTGCCCCCTGACAGAGCCCTCAGCCCTCCCGCCCCCCTCCCCGCCGCCCTCCCCGCCCCCTCCCCGCCGCCCTCCCGCCGCCCCGTGGCCAGGCCGGGCTTGACACCGCCATGGCCGGTCCCGCGTCGGACACGCCACACGGGCCCACGGGGCACACCCGGCGGGCTCCGGCCTGCGGACAGCGGATGCGGCAGACAGACGGGCAGCGCCTGGGGGGGGGGCGCACCTGGGTGGGCTGCTGGAGGGGCTCGGGGCCCTGGGGCTCCCCTCCCTTCTCTTCCCTTCCCGAGGGGCAGCAGCCCCCCAGCCAGCCATCACCCGTCACCCACGACCACCTGCCGCCTGCTGGCTGTCCAGCGGCCACCTACCACCCACCACCGTCACTGCCCGCAGTGCACCGCCATCTCTCCGTCAGTCTGCCCAGCTGTCACGGACCTGCGGGGGTGTCTAACCTTTGGGGGGGCTGGAGTCACAAGCACCCACATCTGAGTCCCCGGCCTCCTGGTCAGTGGCGTGACCAGACACCCTTTGACCTCACAGTCTCTCCCGGTGTCACACAGGGATACCCTCGGGCAGCGAAGCTGTGTCATTCCCAGCGCCCACGTCCCGCTTGTGACCACCACACCTGCTGGCCCGGGCTGCCCCGGTCCAGTCTGGCTCACAGTGGCTGGGGGCGTCGTCTCCTCCTGTGATGGGGGCTCGCGTTCAGCTGGCGACACCAACCCTGCGTGCAAACAGGGCAGCCACAAGGCCTTGCTCCTCCCACGGGAGTCCAGGTTGCCAGACCTGAGCCCAACAGCCCTGCTGTCCTGCCTCACCCTCCTGCTGCTGCTACCCGCCCGCCTGCCTCTGTCAATGCCCATCTCCAGGAGGGTGGCCCCAGCCCCTCCTGCTTGCTTGGGGCTGTGCCCCAGGTGTGGCCTCTTGGTCTCCGCCTTGCAGACAGAAAGGCCAGGAGCCGCTTCTCCTGCTGAGCTTGCAGCCCCGCCCGCTTCCTGTTAACACCCAGCGTACATGTTTCCCGCATCCTCCGTTCTCCCCTAACAGCACATAGCACCTGCTCGGCCCATTTGGCAGCAGGGGAGAGGCCCTCCAGGCAGGTCGGACGCCTGGCTGGCAGTGGGACTCCACCCTGGCAGGGGCGGGCAGGGGTCACGAGGATGCCTGGATGCCGCCTCCAGCCTTGTTAGGGAGGGGGGGCAGGGCGTGGGCCACTTGCTTGGGGGCCACAGTCAAGCCCACGGCCTGAGGTGCATCTGCCTGCGAGGGGGACACGCCCCCTGGCTGGGCCCCGGTTCCGGAGCAGACACTGTGGTGCTGACGAGGGGCCTGGAGGCCCCAGGAACAGATGGAAACAGAGGCAGGCTCTGCGTTAGGACCCGACTACGTAACTTCTTTTGTCAATATTAACACTGACGTGAAATATTTTGATTTTATTTGCTTTATTATTAAAGCCATTGAATATTGGCATTTCCATCAAGACACCGAGTGTTAGATGAAGACCAAAGGGCGCCAGCTGAGCCTCGGCCCTTCCGGGCTCAGGGAAGCACCACATTCTACCCCCGGCTATGGCCTTGAGAACACGAGCCCTGGCTAACGGAACAGTCACCGTTTGTGGAGGATGCACCCCAGGGCTGGGGCCTCCTGCCAGCGGGTGCAGCTGCCGGGGCGGTGGGTGCAAGTCTCGATCTGCTGGGCTGCGTGTCTTTGCAAGGCTGTCCCTCAAATCCCGCTGCCTGGGCAGAGGCCTGTTCTAATTGTCAGCACAGGAAAACACAATCGATCCTTGATTACCTGCGCCAGCGGAGGAGAAAGCAGCATCGACGATCTGACACAGCCCTCCCGTCACCTGGCTCGGTCCTTCACCCTCAAGTGCTGCAGAGATGACGTGACGTTTCAGGAGCTCGCTGTGCGCCATTCATGTGCCTTTTAGAATTCCTCATTCTTTGAGCAGCTCTGCAGAGGGGGAGGCTGATGGGGGCGGCCAAGACAAGGTTAATCAGGCTTGGACACGGCTCCTCAGGTGTAAACGATCAACAATCTGACAGCTGGAACAGCCCGATCGTCTCACCCCACCGTAAATGCTCATTGGCGGCTCCTGCCTCCAGAATGAAAGCAATCCCAGCTCACCTGAGAAACGAGAGCTCTCACCCGTGTCTTCTGCCCCCAGGAAAGGTGCCGTGTTGTATAGAGGGTGTGTGGGTGCCATAAAAACTTGGGTGCACTGAGAGTCCAATGATCTGGAAAAACAGAGCGTCCTTCTATATGGTTAAATCACAGGTGGTCACACGGCAGAGAGAGAGAGAGCACGTACCTGAGGAGATGCCGCAAGGACAGCTCCCGGGATGCGCACGAAGCCCCAGGCGGCCGTCCCTCCAGGGGTGTGCTCACCTGAGCAGGGCGGGGAACTCCCCTCGCGGGCTATGCAGAATGGCGGCTTTGAGCGCCCTGTACCCGGGGTCCCAGCCCCTGGAAACCTCAGCGTGTCCAAGGGTTTTCCTTGAACACACTCCCCCCACGCATGCAGGTTGTGATGCGCGATCAAGGTGTCTGGCTGTGGCCTGGGTTGGCCCAGCCAGACTCTCCTAGGAGTCCGCGCGTTGAACAGACTGGTGTTAACACTGGAAACCGCCGGGTCGCCGTCCAAAAGCACCGGGAACATCCTCGCCAGAGCCCGCGTCCTGGCGGCTCAGGGGTCTGTCTCTTGCACTCACCGAAGCCCCACACTCAGGCTTCCGGCACAGGGGCCTGCGCTGAGCCACCCCTTTGTCTGTCTCGGGAGCCGAGTCAGAGTTGCTGTCACAGGGGACCCACCTGCAACAGCCAGGGAAGCCGACTCCCGACCACGGGGGCCGACGGGGCACTTCCTACAAAGCCTTCAGCTCGCCAGCCCAGCTTGTCCAGGGCCTCCTCTATCCCACAGGGGAGCTGGGAGAGGGAAGGACTTTTCCAGGCCCAAGTTAGAAGCCAGGCCTCCCGCCGCTTCCCACCAGGTCACAGCGAGAGAGCCTTCCCCGCCGGGTCCCGTCCGGCACACAGCGGGCAACTGATGCAGATGCTACTTCAAAGACCCCTTCAATCAATTGATCAATGAGTATTTATTGCAAGGCACTGTGCTAGGCACTGTGGAGAGTACATGGAAGATAAGACCAACACCCCTGCCCTCCAGGAGCTTACAGTCTAGGCGGGAAGACAGGCGTACATGTCAGGACGTTACGTAACAGTACAGGCGTTAAGGTAAATGCAAGGTAACAGTACAAGAGCTTCCGACTGCGGTCCCTGATCGGTCACCGAGTGTGTGGCTGGACAGGCTGGCAGCTCTGTCAGGAGGGCCATCACCAAGGACAGGGCGGGGTCAGCTGGCTGGAGCGACCCTAGACAGGGGGTCCCGGGGAGGGCAGCCACGTGACAAGGCACAGAGGTGAGGGGGAAGCAGGCAGGGTCAGGCTGGGGCTCAGGCTGGGCACAGAGCCCAGGCGGTTACTAGACTGAGGAGGACATTCAAGGCTCGGCTGAGATTTTATCCTCCCCGTGACTCGGGAGAGAGGAAACCTTCACGCAACAGATCGACTTAGACTCAGTATACTTAGACTGAGCTCACCAAGAGGACATACTCAGGTCTGATTTTGGGGATGTTTGCCTGTGGCTTTTACCCTCCCTGCTTCCCAAGAGGACCGGAAGTGGCTGTGGTGGTCTGTGCCCGGGTCAGCTCTGGGCAGACGTCACGGGCAGGGACTCCTCGTCCCCCCCTATTTAACTCCTCGTCAAGTGAGAACTGACAGATTCACGGTGAGCTAACCAGGCACCTGGCAGGCAGGCAGGACAAATGCTCCCGGAAGACGAGTGTCTTTACAAATGACAGAATATTTATTAACAATACCTTAAAAAAAGAGTACATCGGCTAGACCGCTGGCGGACAGCATTTACACCGGGGTGGGAACTACTGGGTGTCGTGGTTTGTTTTTTTTTTTCCATTCATTTTATTATTTTGTTGATTTTTTTTTTTGCATGTGATTTTTTCAGTTTTGTTTTACTGTAACATAGAAGTAACCATATCAAACTAAGAAAGGAACACAGCTTGAAATACTGACAATATTTTTCCACTCACCACCCTAGTAGCTCTTACACAAGTGGGTCCTGATTTCGACTTTATTGGAAAAACGTCGCTAGACCGTCGAAGAGTTCACTTAGATGATCTGTAAGCAAAAGCGACAAATTGCAGGCAGATTCGAGCTCTCTGAGAAAGAAGAGAAGGCGGCATGTTTACATGAAAATCCGCATAGAAAATTTCATTGCCTTGGAGATGCACCGCTCGCCAGTGCCCGCTTACAAAACCTCCCTGTGGTAACAAATAGCGCTGCTCGAAAGAACACAGGTTCGTTGATATTGTCGTTTTCCAATGTGTGATTTTTAAGACTTAGAAGGTAAAGCTTAAAAAGCAACTAGGTTACCTATTGCAAAACAGGAGGATCGTCGAGATACCATACAACTGTACTAAAGATGTTTTATAGTCATGGAAAAAATTCCTTAGCTGCAACTATTTGCTGAAATTCGAGAAATCTGCCCACGTCCATACACGATTCTGATTCCGAAGGAGGGCTCTATTACTCACGCTGCACGTGCTGTACAGAAGAAGGCGTGGGAAGGGAGGGGGACCCCGTCAACAGAGAATGACCCTCGCGTGACACGTACATTCCAATCAGAGACACTCAGAGACAGTAAAACCATCTCTTCTCCGAGAGACCTGCTGGCTAGTGTCGCTTGGTCTCTGTCGCTATGGGCCGGGCCACGTCTGAGCCCATGTCGGAGACAATGCAGACAGGTCACCGTGGTGGAGGGGAGTCTTGCGGGCCCGTGCCGAGGCCAGGGAGGGGCCCCCTGGGCCTGAGTTCAGGCTTCGAGGGCGCAGCCATTCCCAACCACCTCAGGTGGTGCTGAGCACCTGAATCCCCACAGGCCGGACACAGGCCGCACGGCTCACAGGCGCTGGGCCAGCGCCCGCTCCGTCCAGAGCGTCCCACACCGGCCGTGTCTTCCGCTGCCCGCCCCAGTAACTCAGCACGCTGCCCGCCTCGGCCTGGTGCCCGTCCACCTCTGTCCTTACAGGAGACATCTCCAGCAGCGATTGTGGGGTGGCTGCCCATAGCATTGTACAGCAGAGGAGAAAATGAATATCTACATTTCATGTTAACTTTAAAAAATTCTATAAAACACTAAATATATAATAAAAAATATGCATATAAGGACATATGTAAACTGCTTTGGTAACATCGTGTTCCAGATGTCTTCAGTGCATCGCAGAGTCTCCGAAGGGACACCAGACAAAGCTAGGTCTGCTCTGAGGAAGTACTGTGTAGCGCCATTCCTAAAGAAACGAAAAACATTTTTCCCCAGTAATAAGACGTACCCGAGTGACAGCATCGCTTAGGACTGGGCGTCCCCGAAACCGCCAGCTCGCGTTGCTTACATGACAACAGCAAGTCCTCCCGACGGCGATCGTCACAAGCTGGACCTGGCTGTGAGGGAGATCATGATGGTGCTGATGGCCGACAGCGTGCAGGCGTGGGGGGCGGACGGCCCGGCCCCCCGCGCGTAGGCGTCTGCAAGAGAGCACAGGCCTCAGCAGCCCCCCGGGAACCCGCCCGGCGGGCACCTGGGAGACACCCCCCCCCAGCACGGAACACCCCCGGGCTCCTGGCGGCCTGAGGACAGACGCTCTGCCAGCGACGCAGAAGCAGAAGTCTCTCCTCCCTGGGAACCCCCTGGCACTGCGTGGGGCCCAGGGCGACGGGACTCGGCATCTTACGAACACCCAGGGGTCTCGGGCACGGCTGTGACACCATGGGAAGGGGGGCCCTGGGGCCCAGACGAGGAGGGGAGCTGAGGTCACCCCGCGGCGCACGGCTGAGTTGGCGCCCCAGGTCTAAGTGGGCCCTTTCCTTCCCGATGGACACGCTCCGGCCTTGCCCGACGTTTTCCCGCGGGCCTGTGTGTTCACAGCGAGCGGCCACCAGCTGTCGCTTGGGGCTCCTTCCAGACTGGATGATCTTTGATAACAAAATGGAGACTCGCGGGGGGCCTCTCGCCGACGTACACCGCTATCGCCGCCGGGGTGTGGTTTTGAGTGAATGAAGCCGAAGTAGTATGAGGTCAGAGGGAACAAAGTGAGGTAAATCCACCCCAAATCAAGCCCCTCCCGCTGGGTGCTGTGGTCTAGGGATTATTTCCACCTCTGCCCGTAAATCGGCTTCCCTTTCAGCAGGAGTTAGAGCCTTTACTCCGGCAAGGCGCGGATCCCGAGCACAAGCACGCCTCCAGCGCGCCCACGCGAGCCCGTCTGGGGCGCGTCACTCCTGAGTTGGGAGCCTGCGGGGCCTGGGCTCCCGGCGCGGTCCTGTCTGCCTGCCTCCCCCGCCAAGGCTGCTGGGGGCGAGGGGCAAGGCGAGGGGCCCAAGGGTGGGCGGACACTCCCCCGGTGTTTTTACAGACACCACGCCCATCCCATGCCGAGGCCTCAGGCGCCAAGAGCTGAGCTTCCGGCTCGCCCTGAGCCTGACTCCTGCGGGGGGCTGCTGAGAACCGGGAAGGAGCTTAGTGGCCACGCTCAGCTGACAACTGGGCCCGCGCGTTCCGGCTCTCTCTGGCTTCCCCAGCTCTGACTGGCACCCACCCGGCACGTGGAGACCTGGAGAGACTCGCCGCGACACTGGGAAGAGATGCCAGTGACAGACACGTGTGTGGGGTGGCTGCTCCCGGCCTGGGCAGGGACGGTGGCAGCCACTCTCCTGGCCTCGTGTTGGATTGCGGGGCACATTCTGACTCTCTCCTTCTGTCCCGGCTTTCCGGGACCTGCCTACCCTTTCTTGTGGCTCCCGGCAGAAGGAAACTGAGACTGGCGGCAAGCTTTCGGGCCTCAGCGGTCTGCTTCAGGCCAAACCTGTTTGGCTGGACGTTTGCCCACGAAGGGCTGGGTAATCTTTGGTGTCCTTTGCCAGCCTCCCTCTCTCTCTCTCAACATGCCAGTTCTGTTTAGTGTCTTTCACACTGAGCGTTGGCTTCCTTTGCCCTTATACGTGCGGGTGGCCACACCTGGTTCAGAACGTGCGCCCCCTTAACAGAATGTTCTCTCTGTTACTACTTGAAAAGTCCCATCTCCACCTTCACTGGAACAGCCAGTTAAATTCAGAGGCCAGATGAGCTCTCACTGGACATCGAATGACCGTCTTTTCTTTTTATTGTGGCAAAACACACACAAAGCTCACATCTGAACTGTATCAGGTATACAAGCCAGCGTTTAAATTGCACCTCGCTCCTGTGCCACCAGCACTGCTGTCTAGTTCCAGACTTTCCCATCACCCTAAATGAAAGCCAGGGCCCAGTAAGCCACAAATCATGCCTCTGGCGAGTCCTGGCCAGTGACTAACCTGATTTCTGCTTCCCCGGGTCTGCCTATCCTGTTTTTTTCCTTCAAGTAAATGACAACTCACAGCCACAAAAAATAACATGCTGTGGAGATGCTTGCAAACAGGACCAGAAAAGCAGGACTGGATGCATGTGCTGAAAAACTAACACTTGCATGCTCTCCTCCCTCTTTGGAAAGAAAGAAGCCGGGGACGGTCAAAGCGCTCTGCGCAGGCGCTGCACACACTCGGAGTAAGCAGCCGGGCCGGCATCCCCAGGCGGACGCTGAGAGGCGCAGCTTCCCGGGCCGCTGTACCCCGTTTGCAAGAACCCCGCCTGCTCCTCCTGCTGCTCACGCTCTGGCTTTCTCAGCTATCATTCTGGGTTGTCTGCAGTCCCCAGGGGTCTGGGGGGCGGCATATGAGCTTAGTTGATTTTTGAGTGGCAACCCACCGAATCAGTCAAAACCAGCCAAGGTGCGTTTTGCCTAGAGCCACCGTGAGCAGCTGGGGCTCTGAGGACAGCTGCCTGCCGCAGCCCCGGGCCTTCTTCTGGGCTTCTGCCTGTCCTGCCCTGAGGTGGGGCGTGCGGCGAGGTGGCACAGTGAGGGGAGAGGGAGGGGCGGGCATTCTTACTTGATATCTTTGGAATTCGAATTTGCTGGCTGCTGCTTCCATCCCCTCCGTCGCTGAATGGCTTGATCTCGATGATATAGTCCTCATCAAAAGGCAAAGACAGCTCCACCGACGTTCTGTTGGTCTCAATGACGGACGTGCTGCTCTGCCTGCTCCACCTGTACAGGACCTGCCAAGATAGGGCCGGGTCACCTGCGTCCTTGTCAGGCCCCGCCAGGGAGTGAGCCCAGGTCTGTGGCCCTCAGGTGGGTGACATGAAGGCGAGCTGTTGGGCAGAGGGCAGGCCGCAGACTGTCCGTCTTGGCTGCCGGGCCACAGAGAGGCCAATGAGCAAGGGGTGAGGGCTGCAGGAGTCCCTGTGCTGCCTGGCCTACATGGCCTCTGACCAGGTTGGGAACTGGAGCCTCCCCCAGGACATAGGGAGCTGGAGGACACTCCAGGGTCCACTGTGTGACCATGGTCGCCAGGCTGACCACCACACAGACTCCTGAGTCCCCTGCATATTTTGGGGGAACAGGGCCCAAGATGGCACAGAGCTGGGCAGCAGCAGGACAAGGGCGCTGCACAGGCAGCCCTAACCTGCAGCCACAGGCGCCTGCAGCGTCCCCCACAGCCCACTAGGCAGGGAAGGTGGGGGCGGGGCTCGGGAGCCTGGTGGGGTCTAGTCCAGGGCTCAGACCCGGGCTGGTGCGAAGGTCGCCTGGAAGGGCCCAAGCCCCACCCCGGGCCCGTCCCGAGAGTCTGATCAAGATGCTGCACGTTCTAACTAGCTCGCGGCCTCGCCACCGTCCAGGGACCCCGCTGTGAGCCCTGGGCGGCCCACCCTGCCCTGGAGCAACCTGGATCCGAGGCTGGAGTCGGGAGTCACGCTGCCTTCACAAGCAAAGCAAAAGTCATAAAACTCCCCGAAAATGGGTTAGGCCCCCATTTGTTCCCTGGCATTCCATCACCTTAATTTATGTCTCCCTCACACAAGGCGGAAAACAATTTCCTTAAGGTGGGAAGATTCATAAGCGTCCCCGTCCGCGTCCAGGGTCTCCAGAGCCGCGGCGGTGTCAGGCCGGCCCCTCGCGAACCATCAGCTTCGAATAAATCCTGGGCGCTTGAGGGAGGCCCAGGGCCTGCCACGGCCCCGCGGAGGCCCGGCTGAGGGGAGCAGGGACACAGCTGGCTCGGAGGGATAAATTGCTTCTTGGATTTACCTCCGGTCCTCACCAGAGCTCGGGGGATCCAACACGTTTCAGACCCAAATCCGGAAGAGTCAGCTCCAGGGACAGCAGCCCCTCCCAGCACTGCTCGCGGTGGCCGGGGCGGAGCTGGGGCTGTAGAAGCTGCAGTGCCGCCCACGCGGATCAGGGGGCTGACTCCAGGCCTCGCTTGCTTGCCTGGCGTGAGGTCCTGGGAGAGGCAGCGAGCGCGGGTGTGGGGAGAGCGGCAGCAAGAGGAACTGCTCACGGCGGGCTTAGGCGCTGGGCCGAGCACGGCGACAGACAGTTGCCGTCCTCACGTCCACCACGAGGGGCCTGAGGCTGAGACGCAGGTCACTGGCCACGGGGCCCGGGGCGCGGCGGGGGAGCCGGCGCTCCCACAGCCAGGACTGAGCGGGCCTGTGTGGGCCGCCGCTTCCCTCTCTGGTCTCTGCCTTCAGGAGTGCGCGCCAGGGGCTCGCCGAGCGCGGGTCACTTTGACCCTGATGGCGCCACGGCGTTAAGTCTTTGCCGTTTTCTTTCCAGGTCGACGTCAACATTAAAAACACAAGACTGTGCATGAAAAAAACGGGTTCTACTGAAAAACTGGAGGAAAAAATGGAGCCACACTGGGCTCCACTCCCAGCGGCAAGGAGCTGCTGCCTCTGTCACAGTTCCACGCATGGCCATGTCCACGCTCTCCACGCGCCCATCTCGCACGCTGGCACGCGCCTGGCGCGGGGCCTCTGCACATCTGCTGACGTGTGGCGCTCTCCCTCAGAGAGCTGCGCTCATGCCCGCTCCTTTCCTCACGGCCCACGCGAGAGGCCACATCCTGAAGAGGCAGCTCTGGCTTCATATCAGGAGCAAGTCTGCTGGTCTGCCCCCGTCCCTCACGCGGGCTGTCGCTCCCACGCGGCGCCCCTGGGCAGAGCAGCTCGGAGGCTGCAGGGGCCACCGGGGCCATGTTGCTGCCCTCAGGTGCCGGGTCTGGGGCATGCTCTGTCACATGTGCCACTGCGCAAGCAGACCTCGATGTTCTCCCCACAAGGAGAAGCGGGGTGATGGGACTGGGCGGGGGTGGGGGTGCTAGTTAACGCTGTGTTGGAGGGCTGGAGGCCATTTTGCAATGCCCCGACGTTCCCTGTGATGGCATCTCCACAAAGCTGGGATGAGGCCGGCTCTGCGGAGGACGCACGTCAGCTAGACTCTGTGCCAGCTTCTTCCTCTGGCGCGCTGCACCCGTGGCTGCCCCACTGGGGGTTACTGCGAGGCTAAGTGAGCCACCACCCGGGGCTCTTGGTGCACGCAGCCCTTGGCACACGTGCTTGGCGCTTGTTGTAGGGGCCAAGTCAGCATCACCCACTTGGGTGCCCTGGGGGCGTGGGGGCCCTGCAGGGGAAGTACACTGGTGGCTGATGCCAGACGCGCTCTCCTTAGCTCGAGGGTCATAAAGTGGCTCATGGATTTGTAGGGACAGAACATTCTGGGTCTTCGACTTTCCAAAGCCAACTTCTTTCTGACCATGAAGCTCCTTCCCCATCTCCCCTCTGATGAGGCACCGTCTGGCCTGGAAGGAGCCACCTGCACTCACAGGCTGAGGGGCTGCGCCTGGGGTTCTCGCTGAGCTAACCATCTTCCTGCGCCCCCCTTGGTGGCTCTCTGCCCCTGGGCTTGATTTCAGCACCAGCTGAGTTAGCCGTTCCCTCACAGACCTCGTGCCCCTTTCTCGGGGCCCCTGGGGCGGTTGGTGGCTTGATGCGCTCGCTCTGTCGACCTGAAGTCGTCATGGGGCCAAGGGGGCCGCTGCAGGGTGGACCTTGGGGCTCCCTCGAAGCCGCATGTCTGTGGTGGCCCCCACACCTGGACCGGGAGGGCCCCAAGGGCAGGCGGCTGACTGCCCACGCTGCACCCCTCAGGAGCAGCAGTCAGCCAATGCCTGCTTCCCACGATGGAGAACCCCTCATCTGCGGGGTACCCACGTTCGCAGGGCCTGGGCTGCTACAAGGCGCGCCTGAGCCAGCTTCGCCCCACATGGCCTTCCCTGGGGGACAGAGCACGCTCCCTCCCCTACCAGCCCCTTCAGTCCCTGCAGTGGTGCCCGCGCCTCTGGGCTTCTCCAGTTGCTTCAGCCAATGAACCTTTGTTCCTGCCTTCGTGCCTCACACGTTTTCGGGGTCAGCTTCTCCACGCCTGCAGGGCCCCGGGGTGTGGCCGCCTCTCCCCCACGGCAGACGCGGTCTCTTCCCTCCGACTCTGAGGGGTCTGAGTGGACTGGTGTTCTGCTTGGCCCTCGTGGAGGGCGGCACCCTGAAGGGAGCCTGCTGGCCGCCATGGCCACGCTGGGAGGAAGCCCAGGCCGCCCTGTGCAGGCGTGAGCCACCTGCTAGCCACCCCGACACCCAGGGGCCTGTGGGTCACGCGACCTTGAAGGGGCGCCCCTGTCCCTGTCCAGAGTGCTGACCCAGTTTGGGGCAGGTTCTGAGGCCCCAAACACACAACAGCAGAAGGTGACAGAATACCCGCGACTCTCCAGATCAGGGGCGGCTCTGCAAAGACAGGCTGGCCTGTGGGTCAGGCAAATGGGTTTTCTGAAAAGACCCGTTTCTCATCCTGCATGAACAGCCCCTAAGCGGGGGAGGGACAGACGGGTGAACCATTGACATCAAGTGATGATTGTTGATTGAAAATGTCAAACGACCGAGACAAGCACAAAACAGAGCTGCAGGAGGAGCGTCCAGAAGGGGCTCTTCATGCCCTCTGGAGAGCCCCCTCCCCTCCCCCGGGGCCCGAGTCACTTCTGAGGGACTCAGTCTGGCGGGGAGTCGAGACGGCTCTCCAAGGCCTGGCACACTCTGGAAGGCTTGGGCCCGGGCTCCGGGCTGGGGGAGCGGGTGGGGCGGGCGGGGACTCTGGCGCCCCCACCCCGCAGCGCGAGGCACCCTGGCAGAAGGGAAGGACCTACTTTGTATCCTCTCACTTGCGACTCGTTAGCCAGGGCCGTCACTTGGTCCCAGGTCAGGATGATCTTAGAGTCTGACGAATTCCACGTGATATTTCCGGGGGGCTGACTTGGCGCTATAAAAAAAAATTAAGATATACGAAGTCACAGATTATTAAGCCTCGATGGATTCTGAGGAACATCTCCTTACTGGAAGCGGAGAGCAGAAGCAATTTAATGGGCTGCTGCACTAATATGTGTCTTCAAGGTCACTCAGATCTGACGAGATGCAGCGCTGCAAATGGAAAAGATGCAGCTGGCCGCCTAACTCTCAGCGCTAGGGGAGCGGCCCTTCCCGGGGGCAGCATTTCTCTGTCTGTCTCCTGGAGCCACGGCTTCTGCACGGGCTCCACAGGGTCACTTAAAGGGCAAGGGCGCAGGTAAATCAGAATCCCCGTAATGACAGCAAGTAGTGGGGGGGCTCACGTGGCTTCCGGGTGGTCACGTTGACCGTGGCGCTGGACGGGCCGGGGCCCGCGGAGTTGTAGGCCCTCACGGCCAGGTGGTACAGCGCGCTGCCTTGCAAGTTGGTGATTTTGGTTGATGTCTGATTGCCGAACGTCCGTATCTTTCTAGCGTTTTCTTCCTTGTCCTCATGTCTCCAGTATTTAACCTGGGAAACGACAAGGAGCGCTAGGAAATCACGGCCCTCGGGGGGATTTCCAGCATCTCCAGGGCACAGATCTTCACGGCGCGCTCGCTGGCCGGGCCAGTTTTGCACAGGCAGAGCCTGGGGCCGGGCCCGCTCTAGCCTGCGCGCTCTCGTCCATGTGGGGAGCGGGCACCGCCTGGCGGCCTCCCCTTTGCTTTAAGGCCGAGCAACTGTGCACGTCGGGTGTCAGTCATCCTACAGGTGCCTTGGACCTGCACCTGTCTTTGCAAGGCCTCCCGGGGGTGCGGGGAAGGGTGGGCTCCCCGAGGAACACCAGCTCCCTCCACACGGCCGGAAGCTGGCCCGGAACACGCCCGTCCAAGTGGAATGGAGGTACGTTCCCCACCCTGGCCTTGGAGCGGGGCTCACCTCGTAGCCCTGTATCCGGCCTCTGCTCTTCTCCATGGGGGACGCCCAGAAAACCTCGATGTCGGTGGCAGACAGGCTTCTGGCGAAGATGCTGGCTGGTGGCTTGGTGGGCTCTGCGGGCGAGAGCAGAAGAGCTGTCCCCAGGGGCTTCCCGGCAACCCTCACCAGGCGCAGGATCGCCGCAGTGACAAAGACCTAACGCCTCGTTACAGAGCAGCCCTGGGCTGGGGGATGGGGGGGCGAGACCTGCCCCAGCCTGGTTCAAGCCGGGCAGGTGGAGGGAGCGGGCCCCGACTGCCTGGGCTTAAGCACCAAGTTTGCATCACCAGCGAGGCCCCCTTCTCGGGGGAGGCCGGCCAGGAGTCAGCTGGCTGCCCCGCCAGCTCAGGAGCGCCCCCTGCAGGCCTCCCGCGCCGCGCAAGGCGCAAGCCTGGCTGACAGCGAGGGCACCTCCAGTGCAAACCAAGACTCTGCCCCATGGAGTGTGGCCGGAGCCGGGCAGTGTTTGTGCATCTCAACATCTTCCTCAACATCTTCCTCCCCGCAGCCTCTCTGAGGAAACGCCGGCTGTGCCAAGAGCACGGCCGCTCATGGCAAGCTGGGTTTGGTCTGATAGGTGCGTTTCCCCCCACGGCTGCAGTGGACACAAAACCACAACATTGCTTTACAGGCTGACCAGAAACACTCACACGGGGTCAGCCGGTGCACCCGCTCCGGCAGGACACCCCGCCCGGGAACCTGGACAGGGCAGCCTCTGCGGCGCCCAGCCTGCCCACCTGTGCCGTGCCGGCGGACTCATGATCTATGGAGGGTCTGTGGGTTGTCCCCACTGAGACGCTAGTGACACCAAAATGAGGAGCACAGGGCTGTCCCCCCAGAACGCGCCTCAGGGAGGATGCAAGACTGACACTCCCCAGGAGCAAGCCAGGGAGTGGGGGCCCCGCAGGGTGCCAGGGCCCAGGGCAGCGAGCTCACCACTCAGCCAGCCTGTGAGGGGACAGGAGGCCTGGGGTCCTCACATTCATCAGGCATGTGCTGGGCGGGGGCTGCGGAGCGGGATGGGGAGGGACAGGGTCCTGGGGTGTGGCTCTGCATTGCTCCACTGTGACAGGGAGCAGGCAGGTTTGCAGGGTCTGGGGTGCCCCTCTCCCTCTCCCTGCTCTGTAACACGACTCTGCACCCAGCTGGCTCAGCTGGCCGCACCGTGAGCACAGCCTGAGAGGACGAGGGGTTCCAGGCTCCCAGGGAGTGGGGAGCCATTCACGCAAGGACACTGGGGCAGGGAGCCTTCGCATTGCTTCACGACTCTCAGCACCAGAGACTGAGTGTAAGGCTAAGCCTGGGCTACACACGCAGAGGGGCTGGGGGATGTGACTTGCATTTTCACATCCACTTAAAGGAATGAAACGAAATAGAACTTGCTGGAAGCAGGCACAGCCTCTGCACAGGGAGGAAGGTCTTCCATGCCGCTGGAGAGCTCGGTCTCTGCGAGGGGGTCGAGACCGGCTCGAGGGGTCGCTGCCCTCTCAGGAGACAGCAGGCGGGTCTGGGCTCCGCCGGGGCGGACCCGGGCTCCAGGGGCGCTTACCTTCGTCTGCGGAGTAGATGACAGTGACGGGGCTGAAGGGGCCCTCCCCCTTGTTGTTGTAGACGCCCACCTTCACCTCGAAGGGGGAGAAGGGGCGCACGCTCTCGTTCCTGAACACGTATCTGCAGGCATCGGCCGAGGCCAGCACTGTCAGCATCCAGGTGGTCTGGCCGTAGGGCCGGAAGGCCACCACATAGCCGAAGCCCCTCCCGTTCTGCAGCTCCTCGGGGACCGTCTGGGGGGGGAGGGGGCTTCAGAAACCGCAGCGAGCTGTGAGCGCCCTCCCAGCCCCGCCCAGCAGCCTTTCTGTCTCACTCAGCCCCCCTCTTATTCTGGGTTTTGTCAAGCCTTAAACTTGGGGCGAGCCCCCAGACATTCACGAGCAACAGGAGCAGGTGCAGTAAAACTCCCTGGCCGTGGGGGAGGGGGCTGGCTCCCTGGGGTCAGCCTTACCCAGGGCGCTGGTCCTGGCTATGAGGACATGGGACAGTGGGCCTAAGAACCAGCATTTCCAGCAAGCACCACGTGCCAGGACCTTCTTCAGGGCCAGAGAGACACAAGGTCTCGTGGAAGAAGTAAGACCGGGTCCCTCCCAGCACCTCCCGGAAGCCGGCTTGGGGAGGGGGCGGCCAGCCCCCCCCGGGGGAGAATCCCGCCATCTAGAATCCTTCAGAAATACCCGGAGTCCTTGCTAACATGCCCCCCTCCTCTCAAAATCAATTTTTAAAAAAAAATGGCCAGCGGCCTTCCTCCAGGTTGTTTAAAAGATATCTCATATCAGACTCCAGCGGCAAGTCAGTTGCCAGGGAATCGAGCTGGGCCAGGGGACCTACTGCTGGCCACGCTGGATTGGACTAGAGCGCCATAGTGGTGGGCAGCCCCACCCTACCCTGCCAGCCACGCGCCGAGAGAGGGGTCCCTGCAGGCCTGGGGATTTAGCTGCTTAAAACCAAGAGGAAGCGTCCAGGCCTGCTTGATATGGAGGACGTGGCCTAGAAGGACACCAGCCCTTTCGTCCTGTGACCATTACCTCCCAGGTGATGACCAGCTCGGACTTGCTGCCTCCCCCACCGCTGACGTTGGCGGGCGTGACCTCAGGCACTGCGCAGGAGACAAAACAGGCGCGTTGGGGGGTGAAGTCAACCAGCCCGGGAGGGCTGCCTGGACGAGGGGCTGCACATCTTAGTTGTCTGAGATCAGAGCCGTGTGGTCGGGGCCCAAGGCTCGGCTCTGGGAAGTGAGCCCCACCAAGAACTGGCAGCTGGCGCCCCGTCCCCCGCCCCGGGGTCCCCCGCCCTGCGGGATCAGTTTCGTCCCTGGAGGCCTGTCTGGGCCGGACCAGGAAAGGACGGAGAGGGCCCTGATCTGGGAGGCCTCCATCAGCCATGCGCGGGACCCACAGAGGCAGGGACCAGCTGGAAGGAGGCACGGGGGTGGGGGGGGGAGCAGGTGGCAGACAGGCGGGCATGGAGCAGTGCAGAGGCTGCCCTGGGGGCGAGCGTGCCGAGGCAGGGTGGCCCTGGGGAGCCCTGGCTCATGGTCCTTAGCCGCTTGCATGCCCAGTTTTCTCTGTGAAAGGAGGGGCAGTGAGCCGGCTTCCCACCTGCGGCCCCTGGGAGGGCCCCTGAGCTTACAGCTGGGGACAGCGTGGGACGGGCCGCCATCGCGTCTATGAGCAGCGCCTCCCGCCGTGTGCGGCTGGGCGGGATGTGTGTCTGGGTTGGATGCGGGGAAATAGGTGAGGGCGGGTTTTGTCTAAGAGGAGAGTCGGGGTCCCCATGTGCTCCGGGACCTGCTCTTCCTCCCACAGCTGCACGGCTCCTTGCAGCTGGTCTGTGCCCCCCGCTTCCCATGGGAGAGGCCCTGGCTCGTCAGGTGCGCCCACAGATGGGCCCGAGCGAATGGCAGGACCCAGGAGCTCAGTTTCTGGGGAGGGATGAGCCCCTGAGAGCTCTCGCTAGGGGTTCTGAGGAGCTGATTCCAATTTGCGTGAGTGATTTCCGTGCCATTCCCGGAAACGGGGCGTGAGCGTTTTCTGTTGCGTCACCCTGATGGGGAAGCGTGGCGACAGCCGGCCACGAGGGAGGGGGCGGCGCTGGGAGGACACGGACTCTCGCTGGACACAGGGCCCGGGAGACCAAGGGCCTCCATGAAGCTGCTGCCGTGGGCTGGCAGCTCCCAGCTGGGTTTCTCAGGCATCGTAACCAAGGGGAGGGAGACGCGGCCGGGCCGGGGGGCGGGGCGCAGGCCGTGGGCACTCACGGGCCTCCTCTGTCCTGCGCTTCTCGGAGGGCCGGCTGGGCTCCCCGATCCCGATCGCGTTGGCGGCCACGACGCGGAACTCGTACTCCACCCAGGGGTTCAGGCCCACCACGGCGGCGGTGAGTGTCCTCCCATCGACGAGCTCCGGGACTGGGAGACACGAGGGGGCCGTTGGCTGGGGTGCGGGGACCCCGCGGAGCGGGTTGGGGGGGAACATGGTCATCTTCCCGAGAGCCCGGCCAGCCGCCCGCTGGCGACTGAGGTGCCACACCCTGGTGCGTCTGTCTACAACCGAAGCACTTGTGGCCGTGCGCGAAGACAGACATGGCACCGGCACGGCAGACCCATCATTTCCCCGATGTCCCTGCCTGGGCGAGGCAAGAAACAAGCCCACGGAGCTGACCCGCAGGACACTAACATTCACCGTCTGCGGCCGAGACGGGAAGCGGGGCCATGCGGCTGCGCGGAGGAGAACCCCAATGCGGGGCTCGTGACCGGGTCCCTGTCCGGGGTGCAGAGCCCGTGAGCCCCCAGCCCTTTACCTGTGCTAACCGCCTGCCAGCCCACGGAGAACGGGGTGCGGGCCTGGATGACGTACAGGGTGACGGGGCTGTGGTTGTCCAGCCCGGGCCTCCAGGACAGCTGGGCGGTGGTGTCTGTGATCTCATCGATGGTCACGGCCTCGGGGGGGCCTGGGGGGCCTGGGTAGATCAGGAGCTTCAGAGGAGGAGCGATGGGCCCAGAGGCGCAGCAGACCACCCCACCACCCCGCCACCCCCGCCTGCACCCCCGCCCAGAGCCCGGTCTTTCCTGGGCCCCAAAACTATGGAGGCGTATGGGACAGGTGCCTTCCCTCTGGGGCTCACGGGAAAACGGAGAAACGAACAGGGAAACAGAATCACAGCAGAGGGTCTGCTAAGGGAGAGTACCCGGCACCATGGGCCCAAATTCATGAACCCAGACATCCCCTGGGTTCCCCGACGGGTCCAGCCCCATGAACTGGGGCTATAGTGAAGACACACGAAGATGAGAATCTTCTGGAAAGTCACTTCTATCACTGATGCTGTGGGTTTTAGCAGAACGGCCTCCAGAACCTCGAGGGGGGAGGCAGCCTGCCGGAGGTGCTGGGCCGGCCCACCCGAGCTCTCCTGGACACTGCGTGCACGGGGCTGCCCTGAGAACGGGCCCACAGGGCCAACAAGCTGCAGCCATTTCTTGACTGAGCTGGAGCCAAAGCCACCATCTGCATTCCACAGAGGTATTTTTCTTCTTGTCCTGAAGGTCACTGTCCCTGACCACACACTTCCACCTTGCCATGGACGACACTGCAGGCCAGCGGGGGCCTGGGCATCACCATGCAGGAGCAGGGCAGTGGCTGGTGGGGAGCGAGGCACCTGCAGCACCTGCAGCACCGCAGGGAGACCAGCCCAGCCCGGGGAGCCAGCACGTCCACAGAAGCTGACGCCCGGGGCAGCTGGGGAGACAAAATGACCCCCATCCTGCCGCTCCACAGCACAGGACAGTCCTGGGGGCTGAGCCTGGATGCCGGGATCTGCCAGCACCAAACTGGGTCAGCTGGGGGCAGTGAGAAAGGCCTGGTGGGGCACCACAAAGGCTCCTGCTGTTCCTGAAGACCATCCAGAGACCCCAGCCAGAGCCCTTTGGGGAGGCCTCAGCCTCTCACTCACAGACACTGGGTGGGACTGTCACGGCCCCTCCCGCTGGGGGACGGAGTGCCCCGAGGCCTGTGTGCTGGGCTGGCTCATGTCCCTGGCAGTGTCTTGGCCTGCGGCGGAGGTCCCCATGGGGCCAGGCCGCCTCTGGTCTCCAGCCCGGGTGATCTGGAAGATGCCTGTTCTCCCCAGCATTGCCTTTGGGATGGACGCGCCTTCCAGGCTTAACATGTAGCATCGTGAGGAGAAGGCTCCCTCCACACCCCTGGGGCACCGCTGCTGAGATGAGTCTGCGCCCAGTACGGGCAGTGGACAGAGGGAGCTGTGTGGGCCCAGACCACGGTGTCTAGGCTCGATGGGCTGCGCTGGACCAGCGTTTCCTGTCTCTGGGGCAAGTTGGGTTGCCCTTTCAAAATGACCGGACACTGGTCTGTCCCTCAGCACTGCATGCTGCGCTCAGGGGTCCCCAGGGGAGCCTGCCCTGGGCAGCGGAGGGGACGGAGCTTTGATGCTGGTGTGTGGCCTGGGCCGGGCAGCAGCCCCAGCACCACCAGAGGGCTTTCAAGTAAACCGGCAGGCCCCATGGAACCAAGGAGGCCGCGAGCCCGGAGGCTGGCCAGAGGCCAGCAGTGCCGCTGCCTGCGTGTCCTCTGTGGACGCCAGCAAGGGCACAGCCGGGTGAGAGAGTGGAGGCTGCTGGCTTAAAATGGCACATTAATTTATTGGCCTTATTAACTGATGAGACTAGATTTTCTTTTAGACTGCGTTTGCAAATTCCTCTTGGTATTTAATGTTATTTTCCGTGAAATGAAGTATACAATATCATTTAAGAACTTCAAGTATTACTGATTTAAATATTTATTAGTCTAATTTATTGGTGTTTAAACTGCTGATCTGAACATTATCCTAATTAAATAGAGGATAAATTTTCAGCAAAAGAATTCTTTTGTCCCCAAGGGGAGCACAGACCAGTGTCGGTGTGTTTTTAAATGGAGATAAACACGCTTCCAGGAGCTGTTCTGTGCAGCTGCACCCGCGGTGAAGGCTGATTTTGGGGGGAAGGGCAGTTCGAGGCCTTCTCCGTGCCATCCCTGACAGGGCTTGGAGGCACTTCAGAAGCAGGGGGCACGAGAGCTATTTTCCTTTAAGCTCTCAACATCGGCCAAGTCCAACATCCCCCTCCCGAGACACCCCTCCTACACCCGCCCTGCGCTCCTGGATTGCCTGGGGTCTTATTTTCCTGCCTTCAAAGCTCTGCTGGTCACAGCCCCCTAAGCACTGGCCACTCGGGGTCCCGATGAGGGAGACGCAGCCACAGGCGCCTCCGCCGCTTGGCTTTGGCCTCCCTGGGAGGCCGCGTGTGCGGGGCCTGTGCGTGCACGGACACGCTGCTCTAGGCTCTCGTGCAAAAACACCCTCGGCAGCCTGTGCTTTCCGCCTGGGCTGGGGGCCCATGGCCCCAGACGGAGGCCGGCCACGTGGGGTCATTTCTACCCCGACTCTCCATTCTTCACTCCATCCCTGGACTCAGGCGTGTTTCCCTCGAGAGCCGCCCGTCAGGAGCTGAGCAGAGGTGTGAGCTTTATAGCAAAGGGAGCCTGGGGAAAGCGGAGGTTTCACTGGAGCCCCTGCCACCCTCGCCCACGACGGCGCGTCAGGCCGGAGGACACACACGGCGACCCTCAAATCCCGCCGGGTCATTTGCTTTTGTGAACCTGAAGTTATTCGAGAAAGTCCCATCAGCTCCCATAGCAGCATCGGGGTGCTCGGCCCCCGCAGCCTTTCCAGGATGAGGGGAGGGACCGGGTGGCCCTCGCTGACCAGGAGGAACGTGGGACACCCGCGTGGACGCCCCACCGGGCCAGGGCACAGGGTCCGGCTTCTGCCGGCCTCCCCCATTACTCTGACGCCCTGAGGCCTCGAGAGCCCCGTGGGAGCAGCTGGGACACGCCGCAGGGACGAGCCGGCCGTACCTCGCACGATCAGGGCCGCGGCTGCGGACAGCTGGTCCACGCTGGTCTGCACCGAGCACACGTACTTGCCGGCGTGCTTCAGCTGGATGTTGCGGATCATCAGGTCGCCTGCCGAGTCCTGCTGAGAGGGGGCAGGGCGGCTACGGTCACTTCCCAATGAGCCCCGAAATCCACACCCATGGGAGGGGCGCCGTGCCACGGGGGGTCAGGGCCGGGAGGAGATGGCGCTGCCCCCGGGGGAGACGGAGCCCTGTGCAGGCCCAACGTGGCGGCTGCCGGGCTGCTTTGCGGCATCCGGGGCCTGCTGACCTCCCCGGCCTGTGAGGAGAGAGGGCCCCCAGGCTCGGGCGCGCTGCACCGGGACCCTCCTGAGCACGGCGAAGCTGCCCATCTCACCGGCACTGGCGACATTACCAGCTTTCTTTGGGCAGCACCCATGTCACAGGCGCTACCTGTAACTCAAGAGAAACAGATTTTTTTTTTTTTTTAACCTGAAAGCGCCTTATGTAACAGGGGGGTTCTCCTCCAGACCGACTCTGCACAGGCGAGCCTGCAGGTGCTCAGTACTAGCACGACAATTGTTGACCTATTTCTCAGAGTTTCTGTGAGGATCATGGAGCTGATACATATGAAAATGTTTGCTAAATGATTACACACTTCACAGACACAAGGACTCACCACCAGCACCACCCAAGGCTTCTTTACCCCGGAATTTCGTTGTCAAGGACTCTGCACATAGGTTCAAACAAACAAAAAATGTGCCTCACGGGGTATGCAGGGAGAGTGGGAAGCAGCACTGGTTGTAAGGACGTGCCTGCTCTATCTCAGTAATGCATCTTACTCATCACGGGCCTGAAGGCCCACAAAGCTCGCTGCAGCCTGGAGCTCTCAGGGCACAGCAACCTGCTCGTGGACCCTGGCGACAGCAGGGTTTCGAGGGCGCTCTCTTTACGTACACATTATGTTCAGACTTGTGTTTTTAAAGTAAAGTGAAACAGGGCCTCCCTGGTGGCGCAAGGGGTTAAGCACCACACTAGGAAGCAATCCACAGCCACCGCAGCACGAGTTTGATCCCTGGCCAGGGAGCTACCCACAGGCGTGGCAGACTCTCCTGTCTCCCCGCTGCTCCCCTCAGCAGTGGATTTCAGTGGATCTGCCTGTTCTGCTCCCCACTCTGTGTCTGGTGAATCCTCTCACCCCCCATCTCTGGCCTGCCCCCCAGCTCTTGTAGGCATAAATAAATAATCTTAAGAAAAAATAAAGTGAAACAAAGAAAAACTTCAATCAGGGGTGAGGTCAGGGTCTCACGGGAGACTGCAAGGACCCGCTTTCGCCCCGACAGCATGAACACCTGCATTTACGCTTCTACTGAGGAGCACACACGGCCCTGCTCACCCCACCCCCGCCATGTCCCCGGCTCCCTGTGGTCTGGTCTGTCCCTGCAGTGCACCTGGAGGCCATCGGAGGACCACGGAATCACGACGACAGATCTAGCCAGGCCACTGCCCCAGTCCGCCAGGGGACAGGAGCCGGCAATGGCCGGACTGCAGAGCAGCACCTCTCCTGTCAAGTCCTGGGTCTACAGAGGCTTCCAGAAAACGTGCCAGCGCCACTAGGGGGTCTGCCCGCACAACGGCACTGACTGGCGGGCACCTGTCATGATGGGTCCCATCTGTCCTGGCCGGCTGGTGCCCGCGCCGCACGGGGCGAGAATGCAGGAGCCAGAGCTGGCGGCTTCAGCGCACAGCAAATGTTCTGCCTTTGTGGACTTAATTGATGAAGTGCCTTATGAAGGTTTTCTCAATTTATATGTTCCTTTATAAAAATCAGCACTGCCCTTCCTTCAACAATGCAACCTTCGTGCAATGCAAGTTGATCGTCCTCTCGCGGGGGGCATCTGGCTGTGGTCCTTTCTAGATGCCAAGGCGTTTAGTGCCTTCAGGGAGCTCGGGAGGAGATAATCTCCTTACTTGGCCAAGGTGAAGAGGCTCAGCCCCATCAAAGGGCTCCAAAGTGGTTAATATCGGTAGTTCCGTCCACCCTCCCTCGGCCAGGGTCTCAAGAGAGAATGGCGAATGGCCCGAGGCAGCCGCTGGGGTCCTGGGCCAGCGCCTCTCCCACGCTCGGGTACAGTCTCCATCACGCACGTCCGGGGGGACAGAGAACACGGTCTGACTCGTGAGAGGCTGAGAAAGGCGTGGGGGGTGCAAGGGCAGCGCTGGCACGGAGCGGTGGCGAGCAGGCCCGCGGACAGCCTCAGGGACGCGAGCCCTTTCCTCACATGGGGGAGATGCGGCGGGGAGCTGGGCCCGGGCAGGGGTGTCCTCTGCCCTGGCTCTGGTCCCAGCCCCCACGGGCAGGGCGGCCAGACTGCGCGAGTGCTGGCGGCGGCGGGGCTGGTGAGGGCGGAGCAAGTTTTCGAAAACGATCACGACAGACTCAAAGCGTTTCCAGGTCCACGCGCTCTTCCTCTTCCTGGCGCGCGCTCGCCGAGGGCGTGGGGTCATGGAAAGCGGAGCACCCGGGCTCAAGGAAGAGCCGGCATGGCAGGGGCGCGGGTGTCTAAGAGGAGCACGGGGGCTCCGGCTGCAGCCCTGGCCCCCGGCCTCCCGCTCTTCCCTGGGGCCCGTGGAGCTGCGTCCCGGGCAGCTGGGAGGCCAGGGCAGGCCTGGGCTGGGGCGCTGACCTGGAGGGAGGGCGGGGTGAAGGAGGTTGCTCCTGGGGTTTGTTGGTCTGGGGTATGCGCTGCATTAGCTGGTCAGGGTCTCAGCCGTGTCATCACCCGACGACAGCAGGCCCCCCGCGTCTCCTGAACTGGGCCCTGGAGGTAGCGCTGGCGTCCCTCCGGGCAGCTCAGCCGCCGCGCCCTCCTGGACAGCCGGGCAGAGACACTTACCCCCCCGACTCTCTCGAAGTGGTCTCCGTCCCTGTCGAAGTCTATGAGGTGGCCGTTGAAGAGCCACGTGAACACGATGTCCAGCGAGTGGTCGTGGGTCACCTGGCAGGGCAGCACGATGCTCTCCCCGACGGTCACGTCCATGCTGGCCGGGGGCACCATCACCCTGGTGGGATCTGGGGAGGAACCGGGAGGCAACCCGTGAGCTTTCCTGACACAAACCCAGAATGCCCGACCCGGCGGAACGAGCGCCCAGCGCCCGCTGACTTCCGCTCGGCAGCTGCCGTCCTCCGGGGTCCTCAGGGAACCGGCTCAGGCCAGAGGGCATTTTAACGAGAGCGGATGAAGCAGCCCTCATGCGAACCGGGGAGGTAGGAACCGTGGGGGCGCCCCGCGGAGGACAGGGGAGGTTCTGGGCCTTCTCTCTAAACTGCGCTCCGCCAGCTCCTCCTCACCCCTTTCAAGCCGACGCGCCACTGCACCCGAGGGCGAGGCCCCGGAACACCCACGTAACGGGGGCTTCTCGGGCTTTGCTTTTCCCTCGGGAATGCGGTGAATATTAAGTACAGGGAATTTAGAAAATTCAGGCAATTTAATAAACCAAACCAACCAACACGAGCCCTGCTCACTCCTGCCAAGCAGACCAACCCCCACCTTCACGTGGGGCGTGTCGCTCCCCAGTCTTTGTGGTTCATGGGTTCTGTTTCGTGTTTTGCATCGTGTAAGTGCGCAGGACTGTCTCCTCCCACTTAATGCTGGGTCAGTGTATACTCTCAGCTCCATGCCTGCAAGCTGCACAAAGTGCTACAATGCTTATACCCTGAACCATTTTGAAACAAGCAGGTATTTTAACAGAACTAATGTATGAATAGAATCACAAATCACCCTGTAAGGCACATCTTGTCACAATGACACACGTTTGTTATTAACATCTTGAAAGTCAGGCCTGCTCAGTTGTACTAAGCTCACCCTTACACTACAGTGCCAGCTGGAAGACGGGCGCGCTTAGCTGAGGCAGCATGAGCTCCGCCACTATCTCCACACCCTGCGGTCTCTCAGTTTTCACTGCGTCACAATTTCATACATGGTGTCAGAAAGCACCACGGTGAAAACCATTTGACTTACGTATATATAAAGCTCCTCTAAATGCTTAAAGAATGCAAGTCAACGACGTTCCCGAAGTTTCTCTGTGCTAAACCAAGCCAACCCAGGCAAATGAACCATAACAAAGAAGATAAATCAAGAGCACAGAACCCAATAAAAGGCCACGGATTAATTCCCCCCTCACCCCAGGACGTTTCCGGCTGCGGGCTCTGTCAGCGTTCATTAAGCGAACCGCTGAGATTAAGGCCTCGGCTGGGAAGTCTGAAGTATCTTGTAGGAGTCGTTTGATGGGTCTTGCTTTTGGCAGTTGGCACTAAAACCGGCCCTTAATAGAACACGGGCGACGGTTTTCCACCCTCCATCCCAACCACGGAACACAAACTGCTCAGCCCTTAGTGTCCACCAGTGGACCCCAGCGTCCACCTCAGATTAAGCCCCAGTGCTGGGGTACACTGGGTTGTTCCCCAGAGTAAGAAAAGATGGTGAAAGTGGACAGGCATGCCATAGCCCTTGCTGGACAAGGGGTGTCCACGACAGGAGTGGACACAGCAGGGGGCACACCAGGGTGTTGTGAGTTACAGGGTCCCCTCAGCCCTGCGACACCCGCTCCGTGGGGTAGACGCCAATGAGCTGAGAGCAAACCTCCTTGGAGTTATCCATAGCAAACCTGTAGCAACAGCCCCGATCTGACTTAGGCTGTCACTGGTCACTTCTGAGTTTCAACTTTCCTCATTTATAAAACAAGAGGAGAAAGGTGCATTGCTGGCTGGAGTCACAGGCCTCTGCGTCCTCTTGCTTGGCGAGATGCTGCCAAATGCTGCCACTGCACAGGGCTGTCCCCGGGTGCCCGCGAGTTACATTCCATTTCCATGGGGCCTCACTAGCTCGCTGGTTTATCCACCAGCAGGCTCTGGTGCCGGGGCCACCCCGGGGGCTGCGGGGCACGGTGGAGCCTGTGCTTCTCCGCTGCGCCAGCCACTCATGCGATTTCAGGTTCTTACCAAGCAGGCCCCACTGTCGCCCCACTCGGGAGCTGGGGGGCTGACGACCAGCATGTGGAAAACACCACACGGTCCACAAGCCCTCCGGGGACAAGGCCAAGGGCCCCGCGCTGGGCGAAGACGGCTCAGTGGGAACTTTCTGCCTGCGATGCTGTGCTGGCCCCGCGCTCACTCACTGACGGGGGCAGCGTGCAGAGCCCGGCGCCCGCATCTCCGCTGCCCTCCTCCCGGCGAGTCTGCGTGAGCAGCACACGGGGCGGGTGGCTGGCGACCCCGGGGCCATTCACCAAGGACCAGGGCAGCTCCCCGCATGGAGCCTGTGCCGGGCCAGTGCTGCGCTGGCGGCTGCAGGTTCATTAAGTAAGCGCTCGTCTCCCAGCGCGCTGCGCACCCTGATGCCCAAGAGTCCATGCAAAGCCAGCCATGACAACACAGGCACACGCATGCACACATGTGTGCACATGAGCAAGCACACCCACGACACACGCTCGTGCACACAAGGCACAGTCTCCCGGGGCTGCAGAGCATTTCACTGGACCCGGAGCTGCTGGGTTTCTCCAGGGTCTGCTTGTGCGGGAATCTGGCTTCTGCACTGAGTTCTCATGCTTGTTCCTTGATTAATTTCCTTAAATTTGAATACAAACACTGTACACAAATAGACAGATGGCTTCCTCCAAACAAAACTGTCTCCCCTCCTTTGGTTTTAATTCATCAAGATCGAGAAGCGCCTATATTTACGACTTCTGTTCTGAAGGCTCGCGTTGCTATTGTTCTGTGCACGGAACTCTCCGAGGCAATTAGAACTCAAGATGTGAAGTGATGTCTGGATTTGGATGTAATTAAATAGTAGCAATAAGCAGGACCAGCAACACCTCTCCGCTTTCCTGCCTGTGGTGGGTTCACGCGGAGAGAATGATAAATTCAGAACGTCCGAGGATGGAGGCTGCGGAGCTACCTATCAGGCGCTGAACCTCCCAGAGCCAAATCGAGCCATGATTTTACTTCCTGCGCTGTGCCCATCACGTGTGCAGGGGAACCAAGTGCTTTGCTCTAAGGACCGTAACTACCTGTGCGAGTTAGTTACCAAACACGCCACTAATAATCTGGTCAACAATTAGAGGCGTAAACACCACCACCGATTAATCCCAGTCATTTTAAGTTCTGACTTTCACGGCTCGTGCAAAGACGTCCCGACGTGGGCTTTCGTCTCGCGTAAACCCGAGCGCTGGCTGCACGGGCCGAGGCTGCGTTCTGAGCGCCCGCCCCTCCCCTGCAGTCAGGGCTGTCCGGCCTCTGCTCCCAGCATATCTGGTCGTCTCCCGTGAGGCCGGGATCCAGAGCGCCCGCCCTTTATTCCGGTGCGCGCCCTTCCATCAGCCAGTTTCTCAATGGTGACGGTTTGGATGCCGCCTTTTAGCCTTCTGTTTCGTATTATTTCTGCTACGGGGAAACTTCTGTGGGCTTCCTTCCAGACTGGGGCTGCTGGAGCTGGCAGGCAGCTGACCTCCAACGACACAGGGGACTGGCCAGAGGTGTCTCTGGCCCAAGTGAGATGCCTCCACAAAGATGGCTCCTAAGGGTCACGACAGACATGGTTGGGCACCCGGGGTGAATGCCAGCACTCGCCAGTGAGCCCACATTTCTGTAAAAATGAGCCCAGTGGCGTCTAAGTTATATTCAGCTGTTGTGCATGAAGCAGCCATCTGAACAGGGTGCTCGCGGCTCGGGAAGCACCCTGATCTGATGCCGACGGCTTCGTCTGGGTGCAGAGACAGGACAAAGGCGGAGATCTGCAGAGAGAGTCAGTGGCACTGCCCTGCCGCCCTGCGGAGAGGGGCTGTCCTGAAATCACACGAGTCCCCTCGCCAGCCTCAGGATGCACTGGGGGTCCCTGCGGACCCCCCACGGGGCAACACTGCTGCAAAGGTCAGCGCCCGCTCACTCCCTCCTCCCGACCTCCTCCTTCCCACGCCCTCGGCTTCCCATCCCCCTCAGCGGGCAGGCACGCACGTCACTGTCGGTACTGCCTTCACCGTCCGAACCGTCCCCATCTCGAGCAGCAGATGAAGCCCCTTCAGGCCCCACGGCTTTGTGACACCTTGTTGTTATTTATTCCGCTTCTTCACTCTCTGGCCCGGGCTGCTCCCGGCTCTCTGACACAGGCGCTGCTGCAGCCCCACGGGCGGCGGCGTGCAGGGAGACCCGGCTCCTGAGCAGAGGAGATGCCTGCCTGCCCGCTGACTCGCTCGTCCCGGTGCTGGGCATGCTCGTGCAAGTATCACACACGCCTCACACACGTCAGCACCTGCTCCTGCTTCTCTGTCTTGTCCTCGGAACACTGACTCACTTGCTTAATCAACATTTAGGCTCAGTATGACGCGTTCCCTAACCAAGTCAGCTGTGTCCCCTGCCCACGCTCTGCTCACCCTCAGTGACCCCTGGGCCTCTGGGCCCCCAGACCCTGCGCCCTCAGCTCTCTACCCCTCCACGCCCCCTGTGCAGAGGCGGCCAGGGAGGGGGCGGGACGGATGGCGGGACCTAGATTGTTTTAGCATTTTGGGGCGAAGATACTAAAGAACACACCAAAATAATCTCAGAAAGTGGCTAATTCTGATTCTACTGCATGCCCCATTTCAAAGGCAAAGTTTTAGGTCACTTCTTAGAAGATGAATACAGGGCAGATGTGACTTTACAGAAATTAAAACACTGAGTTCCCGCATTTCACGTTGGGGTGAAGGGCTGAGTCAGTGCTTTCATGCAGTCTGTGCCCTGTCAGGATGCAGGCGTTACACACCATCTTGTTACGCTTTTGGGGACTCGCTTGTCACTCAGTGGTGGAGCAACGGGTTCCCATCTCTGTTCTCTCTGTGGGGTCCCCATGGTCTGCTCTTACAGCAACGATGACCAGAAACAACACCGCCGTCCCCAGTGTTCTCGCTCCCAGAGTGACTCTTCAGAGGAAACATACCGGCCCAGGTGGGGGTGTGGGGCGGGGCGGGGCGGGGATGGGCCGCCACCCGAGCTGGGTCCCGGGGCCTCCGCTGGCAGCCCTTCCGGGCTGTGGATTCTTC